ACTTGTGCAGCTGTGACTGCCCTCTTAGTTCACACTAGAGTCCAACATGCCTTTTCCCCTTCTCTTAAGTGCTGGTTAGCTGACCTTCATCATGCATAAAATTGGATGGAGAACTGCCCCTCCTACTCTACCTAATTTTGCTCAGCTGACTTGTTGCCCTGGACAACGGCTGTAGTGCGATGCATTCGTCACTTAAAGCAACTCTGCTGGAGTACATCTACAAGTGGACAAAGAAGGGGATGGAACACACAGATCAGTGAGAAGTAGTCACATTGTTCAAAAAAGGCAGACACAGGACAAAGTTCTCAAAAAGATACAACTTTCATTTGCAAAGCAGGTATGTGCAGAGACACTGGTTTCTGAAGGATTGAGGGTAGGGAACAACATGATCCATGCAGGGAAGGATTTTGGTTCTCAGTTTAATACAGGCAGTATTTATACCCATCTGCATTGTTTAAGGGGAATTTGTGATAAATTCACTTCCCGGTTACGATTCCGTTTAACTTTTGTTCTTGGAGTTGCAAACCAGTGTTCCTTACACGTAGGAAACTTAATATAAGCAGGCCATTTTCTAAAAACCATCTATGTCATTCAGTCTTAGCTGCCGAATTTTAAAGCTGCTGTTGCATTTAGAGACAGGGGTTGGGATGAACAGATAATCCACATCTTATTTTTAAAAAAGGGAAAAGGGGGGATTTCTTACTGAGATGTTTTCCTTAGAGGTATATTTCTCCCCTCCTAGGAACTAAATAATGCCATAGAAGATGACAGCAAGAAGATATAAAACAGTAAAGTCAAATCAAGACTGCATTTCCACTTGCAATTAAATTGAGAAACAGCCATTTTGGCATATGCAAACAAAACATGCCTTCAGGATCTTCCCCACAATTAAATACAAATTCAAAAGAGATACTGGATGCAAATAAATTTGGTTTTCAAGGGCTTCTTAAATGCTTGTGTGATCAGAGTTCAAAGCAACGGTTGTATTTACAGGGCATAGTTATTTATCTTTGTAGAAAGTTGTAGAAAGCTTGTATGTCAACAGAATTGGACTTCCATTTCACTGGGATTTCTTAGCAAAATAAATAAACCAAAAATTGTTATTTCTTACACACTTAAAAAAAATCTAGATCTTTATGTGATTACATGATTCTAACTTGGCTTTTTCCAATCTTGTTCCCTCCAGATGAAGTAGTAATATAATCAGATGATCATATATTTGCTCTTTGAATGTAATTTAATTAGACAGTCAACTTTTCCTCTTGATCTAAAGTTAAAAATTAGGCATTTACATGTAGCTAGTTTTTAAAATGACTACAACTACTTCTGAATGGTACATTTCATCCCCATTCAGACTTTCAGTATCAATTTCCAGAAGAAATGTCATGGCTTTCTAAATCAAGTAATAGACTTTTAAAAAGCCAAACTCCTAGTCCACAATGAAGGTCGAGTTAATTACATGAAAATAATTTGAATATTGATATAACAGACTTACTCAATAGGAACTTTGTATTATCACCCTTAATGATTTGAACATTAGCAGAAAAACTTCTCATCAGATCTTAAGAATTATCAATTATTAGCTGGGTACATGCAAGATGTTTAAGGTGGTTAATAATTAAATCAGTTGAGCTCACACAAGAGATCCAGCATCACACTCTGCCCCTTTAGAAGGTTGTACAAGTAGTCCTCGACTTACAATAGTTCATCTAATGATCATTTGGAGTTAAAACAGCACTGAAAAGAAGTGACTTATTTCACATTTATGACCATGGCAGCATCCCCATAGTCACATGATCAAAATTCAGATGCTGACAGGCAGTCAATGGGGAAGCCAGATTCATTTAATAACTAACTTAACTGCAGTTAACAACTGTGGCAAGAAAGATGTAAAGTGGGGCAAAACTCACTTAAGAACTGTCTCACTAAGCAACATATATTTTGGGTGCAATTGTGGTTGTAAGCCGAGGATTACCTGCATAAATGCAGCTGAAGGTTTTGACACTGACCTGGTTAAGGGCATTTGTCAATATGAATGGTAAAATTCTTGTATCTATCATCCTATTCTGCTTGAGACCATAAGCAGGTTCTCACCTATTGTATACGTACTGAAATCAGTTTGTAAGAAGTGTTCAAATATGTCAATAAGAAAGATGTTGACTTTGCTTTTTCTCAAGATAACAGTCGGAACAGTTATATGGACCTGGATTTTCTTGGATCACTTTCTCTACTATAAACAGGCAATCTAGATTTTTTTTCTACATGGATTTTTCACTTGAATTAGCTCTTTATAATTAAAATTGCTCTTTTCATGCTTATCATCTTCAGACAACCTTATCACAAACAAGAGTTCTTATAATTTAAAAATAAAATTCCAATAAAGGTGAGTGAAAAATAGAAGCTGCTTGTTGATCAGGGCTATAATATATATATAATAAAGTATTTCTGCTTAAAGAAGCAGAAAGGTTAGTCTTAAATAGCAAGTGTCCATTTCTTTCTCCTTAAAAATGAAGTTATGTTCAATGGCTGCATACAATTCTATAGGATGGCAGAGGTAACTTGGGGATTTTAATCAGATTTGTTTCAGTGTAACAAGAAGCAGGGATTGATTTCAGTGTGGCCGGCACTTGTCAAATAAGACATGAATGGAGAACATGGATTCTTCCAGATTTTGCTAAAGTACAACTTGCAACAGCCTTGGGTTGAGTGGCCAATGTAGGAAGATGTTCTAGTTCTCCTACATTTAGGAACCTATAACCTCTTCAGTCAAGTAAGAAGACAAAAGCTTTCAGATTAATCCATTTATTTTACCATTGCACATATATTTGATTAACTTTCCAACATGATCCAGTCCTGCCACGTGGACAAGTTAATAAGTTGCGCATCTGAGAGAGGACGAAGAAAAAAAAATGCTTACAAGCATACAGAAACACCTTCCTAAAAAAAACCACGAAAATCAGTCTTGCTTTATCTCTAAGTGCAAGTGCTCTGTTCAGATCCATGCTTTCAAGAGATTAAGGATGTCATTATGAGTCCCATTCTCTAAAGCAATACTGTTATCCCATACCAGTGATATTCAATCTGGTACCCCTCTGGATGTATTCATTGTACTCCCTCCCAACTCATCTATTAATTTCATTTTCATCATTTTGTTGGGGAAGGCTGTTCAATGTTACAGAAACCTTCTGATTTTTTTTTTAAGGTATTCATTGCATAGGATTGATTGGGAGGGAGATTTTAAACAGAGATTAGGACTGCCATGTTATTTAAATAACTACATTTTAAAAAATAGGAACAGGAGATAATGAGCAGGTAATCTAACCTTGGCCTTTTATTTGTGTTCATTTGTCCCTTTATAACTCTCTGCTTAATATGAGCTGCTGTGGTTTTTGGTCAAGATAAACAAAGTACACACGTCAATTGTCTGTGGGAGTAATACTGGGTACAGCAACAACTTAATGTTGCTAGGAAGTCTCAAGACCAGCTGATAGTATCCTGCACAGACCCAAGGACATTCAACATATTGCACAGGCTCTCCTAATAAATGGACTTCAAAGAAAAAATCAACTGCCATTTAAAAAATAAGAGGAGACACTTCACTTTCACATGTTAACTATGTGAAAAAACGAAGAACGATCTTGCGCAGAGACCTCTAAACTTGGCAACTCTCTAAGCATGGCTGACTGAGGAATTCTGGGAGTTCATAAGTCTTAAAGTTGTCAACTTTGAGATCCCCTGATCTAGCATTTTTATTCTGCTGAATGAATTTATGATAACTGCATGTCCAACTACGTGATGGTTAATATAACTATAATTTTAGCTTGTAAGTAAGCATATGATTCTAACAGCATGTAAGAACAGTGTACAGGGGTAATTTTTCATTAAGTGGCAAACTAATGAAGAATGCCTTTCTTTCATGAAATGTAGCTAAAAAACTATAGGATGCATTGCAAAGATTATTCTCTGAGGTGAACCACAGAGAAAGTTGACTTTTCTCAGTTCAGAAATGTCAGATTCTATTATATTGGAAATGATTCTGTAACGGAAACCAAATGGTCATCAGCGCTCTTGCGACACCTCCCAGAAAATGCACTACAGTGTAGCTCAACAAGACTGTGGAAAAGTGTTTTCTCCAAACCAGAGATGACCAATAAGTGATCATACAATAAACTCAAATATGGGAAAGCAGAACTATAGAGCAGATTTTTAAGATTCTCTCCATTCCCCAAAGTTTAAAAAAGAACCTACGGTCAGCAGGATCTGATCTCTTTCAAAAGACATTCATTAATCCCGCCATTCCTCACAGTATTTTTACCTGCTGGATTTCCAAACATTTACCAGCTCCTTTTCTAAGCAATTGCCAAAGGCAAAGAAATGTTGGGAATGGTATCTAATCTGGTATGTGTCCTCCAGATGTGTGGACTTTTTCTGGAATTCCATAGCCAGCTGGAAATTTGGGAAATTAAAATTCATCCATCTGTTGGGAGTCTAGGTTGGGGAAAACTATTCTAGGTTGTGCTACAGTAAATTTTAAATATTCTCCATGCAAGAAATCAATGCATCTTGGGGAAAAATAGCTACCTCAAATCTCAAGGTCATTTGATAACAGTACTTACATGTATTACTAAATCATTATGATAGATGCTAAGTCAATATTTATTTACTAATAATAAGCAATTGAGCTGGCAAGAATGGAACTAGTTCACAACTGAATCATTGGATATTTAATATTTCACCATGGCTCAGTTAAGAATTTTTAGAAAACTTACCCCCTTAGCTTTATTAATACTTTCATTACATTGTAATATGACCAAGAGGAAAACAAAAACAATTACATTTTAATAGCTGGAAAGTAGGTATTAAAAAAAATACTCACCATAGGGTCACGGTAAATTAAGAATTGCAAGTAAAATAGCAACAAAGAGTCAAGGAAAGGCTCAAAAATTTAATCTTCCCAATATCTTCAATGTTAAATCAAACCATTTATAAGCAAAAGTTACCTGGACTTTTTCTGTACTTGTGGGCAGCAGCTGTCTATACAACACTTTTTTCACAACATCAAGAAACAAGCAAGTGACAACTATGATGATTATGGCAAACCAAGCAGAGCCGCTGGACAGCAACTGAACAAATACAAAGTACATGTCTTGGGTGTGCAAAAACGGCCTGGAAGGATAAAGAGACAAGAAAATGGGAATTAACAAGCAGCAAAGGAAGACATTAGGTCAGTGGTCCCTAACCTTTGCAGCTTGGTGGCCTGGCTGGAGGCGGGGGGGGACGGGGGGACAGGGGAACAGGGCCATGCAAGTGGTAACGACAGCGTTCCAGCAAACCTCCACTCCAACCAATAACTCCGAGACTGGCATCTTTTCAAAATTTCCTTTTACTTTGGATAGTAATTGGCACAACTGGGCAATCCAGCATCTGAAAGCTCCGGCTTCCTTGCAATAAGTAAAAAGTACAACTCCATCCCTTGCACCCATCATCATATCACATGCCCCAATCACCATCTGTCCCAATTTAAGACTTCCCCACACTTATGCACAAAATAACATGACCCTGAATTAGAAAAACAATGTTATTATGTGTAACTACATACACTCCAAGAAATTCCCCCCTCCCACTTTACCAGGCTCAAAATGTGGCAGCATGGGAGCATTTGGTCTCAATATAGCTTTCAAAGCTGACAGGTGGGCTGGCGCATATGTGCCGCCCAGCCATTTGTGTCAGTAGAGCTGCGTGCGCACATTGGCCTGCTGCTTGTGTCAATGGAGCTGCGCGCATGCGCTGGTCTGTCTCTTGCGTGGCCCAGTTTCTGACTAGGCCATGGCCTGGTGGGAGGCCATAACCCCTGGGGTTGTGGACCCGATTTAGATGACACTCTTAAGAAATGTTAAAAATTGAAAAGTGATGAAATTGTTAAGTACAGGTAATCTCAACTTATAACCATTCATTTAGTGACTGTTTCAAGTTACAACAGCACTTTACAAAGTGAGTTATGACTGTTTTTCACACTTAAGACCAATGCAGCATCCCCATGGTCACGTGATCAAAATTCGGACACTTGGCAACTGGTTCATATTTATGACGGTTGCAATGTCCCAGGGTCATGTGATCCCCTTTTGTGACCTTCTAGAAAGCAAAGTCAACGGGGAAGCCGGATTCGTTTTACTACTGTGTTACTGACTTAACAATAGCAATGGTTCACTTAACAACTGTGGCAAGAAAGGTCGTAAAATGAGGCAAAACTCACTTAACAACTGCCTTGCTTAGCAATGGAAATTCTGGCTCAACTGTGGCTGTTATGTCGAGGAGTACTTGTATCTCCCAGGGAACGAATTCCAACGATATAAAATCCATAACAGAGAAAGCCCCGTTCCTAGTATCTGCCAGCCTCAGGCAGTTGGAGCTAGAGAACAACTCTTCTAACATGGATCTCAAAGTCTGGGCAGGTTCATAGCAGCAAATATTCAACTTCTGGTCACGTGAAACTGTGCAGCGACAGACTCCTTAGATCAGGGGTGTCAAACTCAAGGCCCATGGGCCACATCCGGCCCATAGGGTACTTAGATCTGGCCCACAGCAAAGAACCAGTCCGTGGTGCCTCTGCCAGTGAAAACGGAGCTCAGGAGGGCTGCCCTCCTGAACTCCATTTTCACTGGCAGAGGGTTGCAGGAGACTATCGCAGCCGAAAATGGAGGTTGGGAGCCCCTTGTTGCTGGCAGGGAGCTCGGGCCATCATAGGCACCCCTGACACGAGAGACATCGAGCTGGCTACGCCCACTATGGCCACACACCCCAAGGTCAAACACAACCCTGATGTGGCCCTCAATGAAATTGAGTTTGACACCCCTGCCTTAGAATATTGAAGGGAGATAATGAGGAAACTTAAGAGATATGGAGAGTGATAATAATAATAATTGGCAGTCAGCTTCTCTGATGAAGGTAGTGGCATATGACTTTTTGAACTCAAGAGACGCAAGTTTGCATTCCTAAGTAATCAGTCAATGAATGTAGCTCCAATCCTTTTGAAGTTTAAAAGTCTGACTGTGATTTAGAAATGAATGAGGCAAAACTTTTGAGCTGAGGATCTAAAGTAAAAAAAGGAAAGGAAGTACATTCCAAATACATCCTTATTTTTCCCCTAGTAAATCGATAATTGTATTTTGCATTTTGAAAGGCTATGTCAATGTGCAGTCAAGCCCTAAAATTCTGGAGGTTTCAGCTTTTTATCCATTTCTCTAAAAATTAATGTGGCAGAAGTTTTGGTTTTCATGTATTTCAAAAATGGGACACTGAAATAATCAATTATTTATTTGTCCCTTAGATTTATTTCCTGCCTTTCCTCCAAAAGGAGAATACATGTAACTCAGGATTGAGTTCTGAGGTTCATGATATGTTCTGACTTAGTTGTTTGCTTGTAGATGTTTTACTACCCAACTAGGTAACATCATCAGTGCTAGTAGGTGTGGGGTTTGTTCACTCTTTATAAACAGTAGCTTGCCTGTGTAAAAACTAGCACGGATTGGTCATCCATCTCTGATACTATGTCAAATTCTAGTTTTAAAGTAAAATTAAAACTGCATCTTCAAATTTGGGCAACAAAGAAGGGCCATTATAGAACAACAAAGCCCTCCTAAATGGATAATGAACAAATGGATAATATGATGGTATTTCTATTTTTTATTATTCTTTTCATTTTATGTGCTAGATTGTTGGTTTAGCTGCTCAGAGGAATGCAGCAATACAAGTTCTGTTTGTGTATACATACGTATGCATAGTGTGTAGACACAAACACATGCACCACTGGTCACAGCCTGCTTACAGGTCCAAACATGGTTTTGTTGATGGCAAGAATTTAAGGCAGCAATATTTTACTACTCTTTTGTTTGCACAGAGCTAACTACTTACCAGATTATTCCGCCATAGAATAAGGAAAAGATGAAGTAAAACCCAATGGACCCCCAAGTAACAAAATGATTTATCCAAGTCCAAAAGTGAGTCTCTATTGCCATCTAAGCACAAAAAAAGAAATAAAGAAAATTGTATCTCTAAATAAACAGGTAATTACAAAGTTAAAGCCTGTGAAAACATTGCATGTTTGTATGTGTGTGTGTGTGTGTGTGTGTGTGTGTGTGTGTACCATGAAGTCAGTGTTGACTGCTGGCAACTTTCTGAACAAGGTTCACAATTTTCTGGGTAAGATTTTAGTAGGGGCTTGCCCCTGACTGCTTCCCAGGGCTGAAAAAGAAGGACTGCCCCAAGATCACACAGGTGTCTTGGTGTCTAAGGTGAGACTGAACTCACAGTCTCCCAGTTTTTAGCCTGTCTCCTGGTTTCCAGCCTGATGTCATAACTGCTACGCCAAATTGCTCTCATATGTTTTTGAGAGCCATATGTTGGGAATTCATATTCTAAATCCAAGGTGTGCTCAACTCCTAAAACAACATTGGTTCTGCACATGAATGCCTCCTTCTCTGTAGCTGATTTTTACACTGGTCAACTGAAAAAAGGCCAGTTCTTGATCAAACAATCATGGCAGAATATAGCCGATTCTGTCCTTGGGAAGGACTTGGTAGGTGGATAAAAATGCAAAATTCAGCCTAAACATCTGGCTGGTTTTATTTATTTATTTATTTGATTTCTATAACCACCTACCTCAGCAAATGACTCTGGGTGGCTCACAATTCAAAACATATAATTGAAACATTTGAAAGCAATAAAAACAGCAAAAAGCATTAAAACAATGAACACATTGTTGATTGTGTGATCAATAATAATACTATGGCATTGTTTAGGTATCAAAGAATTCTCCTTGCGCTAACTTTTGTACTTTCTTGAGCCTATGTTTTTTCCAGCTGAGGAGTTCTTTATAGCTGGGTTTAAAGACAAAGATGAATCTTTTGACATCATTTGAATAAATAATTTGACCTCAAAAAACTGAATTTGTAGGAGTGGTTACATTTTCCAATGGAAGAATACAACCTCACTGGGAGTTTTCAGTTAGAAAAATCCCAACACAAACGAAACTGATGGGTTTCAATGTTAATTTAACTTAATTCTTCCAGTTAAATATAGTCAAATCACACCAGCACTGATCTCAGACTGTTATTAAAGATAATTAAAAAGAGCTTAGAAAGCAAAATCACAAGTTCACTGCAGTACCTTCATTGTAACAGTTATAACCATAACTGTGAAGACCAGAGTACCAAAGGTCCAATTTCCAAACATCTAAAAAGGAAAACAAGAAATTCAATTAGACAGAAAATACTTAAGAGGCAACACCACCAACCATTATGCTAACAAGCTAATCCTACCAGATGCTCAAATGAACACTTGCCTATTTAGAACAACTTAGTAAAATCAGCAGGGATAAAAGATAAAACAAGCCAATAGGTAAATGAATTTCTATTTTTAAGTGAAAAATAAATTGCAGTTGTCCCTGTTAGATTTCTGTATAATTTTTCAGCTCATGCCTATAAAGAATCAGGATTATTTTGAATCTAATTCTAGAGTACTGGTTATCCCACCCAGTTTAGTTTCACCCGCAAAAATCTGATATTTCCTTTACCTGTTTCATGAAAAATCTAGACTTATGCACTTATTTCTTGAAAGAGCTAGATTGTGTTAAATATTGTTTCTCCTCATTTCAAGAACTATTTTTAGTTAATGGGTTGTTAAATGCAGTCCATCTGCTTGTTTGTGTTGCAATGCTATTGGAAGCCTTAACTAATAATAAAGTAATGAGATTGGATCTGGGTTAGGAACTTCTGTCCTCACTGAGAGTTGTGTGTGTGTGGGAGGGGTGCACGAAGGGAGGCTCAGCCAATCTCATTGTACATATATTGTACTCTGACAATAAAGATAAATAATAAATAAAACAAATATAGATTTGTACAGAAAAAAATCCAGCCTAAGTATGGTTGTGGAGGAAAGAGCATCATCCACTGACTGCATCATATTCACTTATTCCACTACATTCTAAAGAAGACATTTTAAAACTGAAATTATTCCAGGCCGGAAAAGGGATTTTGGTACAGAGCTCAACAGGGAGGTTATCCAAGATTCCCTGCAAAATAGCCAAGCCCAGCCCATAAGGAAGAAGCAAATTCCATAATCAATAGCAATGCTGTCCTCTCACTTTATACCTATTAACAACATGTTGATCCTTTATTAATTCTCCTTTTCTTGGATTGCTATCTGTAACCAGGCAATTGAAAGTTCTGAGAACTGAGAAAAATCTGAGCTTGGTGAAAAGGATGAGGATGCAAGTCCCCTTCACCTAAAGATGGTTTGTCTTATGAAGAGTTTTCTTTAAGCTGGCAGAAAGCAATTACTATTAATTAGTAGATGTTTGCCATGGAGACTTTTAGAGGTGGAAGAGAAGAGGATTTTGGTAAACATTCCAAACCGCCTACAGTTTGCGTTAAGGATTGTGTTTGTAGAAAGGCAGGGGGTGGGGAGACCAAAGACAAAAAGCATGTAACTTGGCAACATTTTACTAATACACAAGAACCTTTCCTTGAACACAACTATAATTGTCCACTTAGAATGAGAAGGATGGGAAAGTTCTTCCAATCAGTTCTTTTAATGTGTTCAAGGAGAATGAGTGATGCATTCTTGACTAAGACTACAAAGGTACTGCATTTAGTGTCTGCACGTCTTTTATCCTACAACATAAAATCTTACCATTTGCCTCTTAGGTTTGAATACCTGATGACATGCACAGCATGAAAAAAAAGGGGCAGTTAGAAGGAAGCTAAAAGTGCAAAATTGTGGTGTACAGCTGTTACAGTGCAAAGCTAAATCAACCTCTCAGAATTCACACGTAACAACATGGATTCTTTCTTCTTGCATGCCAGCTATGCTGAAATTAAGAATTCACCCACAGCTGTACTTTCGTATTCCAGCTAAAAATAGCAGACAGTAGTTAGACTATCCCAGATTCCTGATGGTGCCCACAGAATGATTCAGAAACCAAGTTCACCCAGGGTATGTTAGATAGTTGTATAACTGAAATATAACAGTTCACAAATAAGGCTATTGGAAAGAGGTTTTTGCTCAGCTCTGTTCGTTTTCAAAGATGCTTATTCACAAACTGTCAATAAATAACTTGAGCACCCAATCCTCTGGTTGCAAATTTGTGGAGGAAATACACCACACAGAATATAAAACAGAAATATGAGCAGTTCACAGTCAGCTCCTGAAATCCCAGAGTTAATATCCATCCAACTCTGTTTGGTATCTCAATCGATATGTATTATTTACAGAACTCTTAGTTTATCTTTAGGCAAATTTTTTTTTTCAAGGAAATGTGTATCTCACATAGCTATCTTAAGAAAGCACAAACATTTCTGGCTGAGATATGTTTTACAGTGATTCAGTGTACATAGCACATTATATACTCCACAATACAGTTTTCATAATAGGTTAGCATTCTACTTTACCTGGCCATTCCCTAACAATGAAGTGTCTTTTCCCATCAGAAGATAGGAGCCAAAGAAGAAAGCAAATGCATGAAAAAATCCCAAGAACGTCCAGTAGAGGAAAGGCTTAAAGCCCAAGTGGGCATTTTTACTAATGTCTCTGTAGAAAAAGATGGGAAAAAAAGATATAATGCTCTGACAGCGTATTTTCAAGGAATGAAAATTACTTTGATGCATGATGATGTCAATGTACATAAGATCATATTTAATGTTTTAGAAACACTCTTAAAATTCATCTATCCATCTTTTTACCTATTCTGAGAAATTGCTACAAATGCTCTTCAAAAGTTGAAAGGAATCAAATATCATACTTCCTATTGTTAAGTACTGACCTTGAGATGTTTCATGGCTACTTGCTACTGAAGACTAATGTTTTGGGAGAAAAGATGATGCCAATTCCCTATTTTCTTTCCCTACCGCACCCAATTACAATCTTTAATCAATGAGCCAGCTTATAAATGACCAAAGTACGGCCACATTTCCAAATAAATTTGTATAAACCGACACATTATTTTTAAAAATGGTGTAATTGGAATCAGAAATCTCTTTATCATTTAGTCTCTTTCAGGAGGAATAGGATGCGGAACCTCAAATTAATTACATAGCATTATTTAGCAATGTTTATCAGTCACCTCCAAATGAGATGGGCAGCACATAAATCTAATAAGGCTAAATGAATAAAATAAATAAAACCTACAAGTGTGGGCACATTATGGCTGCATTTCCACACTAGAATAAGGAGGAGAGTGTAGATTTCAGGGATTCTTCTGAATTCACACACATTCCTTGGGAGTGGAAATCAACCAGAGGCAGCATTGCTATTGAGAGGCAGTGGGTGCAGTGGGTAAGGCACTGAACTATAGGACTGGGGAATGCAGATTTCTATCTCACAGATTTACTAGGAAAAATACCAGGAAGAAGCAGTATACATCTTGAGCACCTGTGCACCCAAGGTGAGTTATAAATCAAACAAAACATACAGATAAATGTATAAATGAAGGATGAGACTGAGGACAGTGGTAGGTGGGCCTCCAGCTGTACATTGAATACAATCATTTTCTTTCTCTTTCTCTTCTTCCCAACAAACTATTCATGACATACAGATCTCCTTTCCTCAATCCTTCCATCTCCCCCTCCCACCATCCGGCCAGAACTTTCAGCCTCCTACCATACTGGTCCCAACTGATAAGTACCTATCCTTCCCCCCCCCATCAAAACTGATGAAGATTTTGGATGAGAAACTAAATGTTTTCTTCCTCCTCATGGAAAAAACGGCCCAGTTGCTTTTTGAAAAAGCACCTTTGAGACAACTATGACTTGGATGACCGAGAATCTCTCAGAGTGTTTAAGTTAACTACTTGCAAAGGGCTTCTAAAATTATGCTAACAGTGACAATTTGAACATCCCCTGCTTTCTATACTCTGATCCTTTCTTCTCTGGCTTCTCTGGCTGGCATATCCCAGCCAGAGCAATTTCTGGCTCTGCTTCCAGAAACTCTTTGGAACATCTTTCCTCTTGAGGATAGATTGCCTCTTCTATCCTTCTGCAGGGGTCTGAAGACCTGACTCTGCCAGATGGCTCGGGGCCCTAATGGGAAAGCATCACACTGATGGAGGGGTTGTTGAAGACATTTATTAGGATTTCACTGAATGTCTATGGAGATTCTCAGTCATCCAAGTCATGGTTGCCCCAAAGGTGCTTTTTCAAGAGGCAACTGGACTTTCTGGTTTTTCTTTGAAGAAGTTTCACTTCTTATCCAAGAAGCTTCTTCAGCTCTGACTGGATGGTGGGGAATGGAAGGATTTATATTCCTTGCAGGAAATGGGAGGGGATAGATTTTACTGTTCTAATTCTGGAAGCCACCCATGGTTTTTTTCATTCAGATGGAGGAGAAGGCAAATAAATTCAATAAACAAACAAACTCATTAACTGAAGATGGCAGAACTGACTCTACAATAAATCTTAAGATATAAAAAAATATGCTCCATCATGGCTTAACTGCATAGGGATTCCTCTAATATTTCAAATGAGTATTAGCCATTTCTACAAACAACCTAGGCGTTAAAACTCAGCATCCTTTGGGTTTGACAAGTGGTTCTTGAGTAGGAGGAGCCGTACAACTTATCTCTTACCAAGCAAAATCCTCTCCTGAACAGACCATGCTTACCGGTAGAGAGTTGGCTTGCTGTGCAATACATGAGGATGCACATGCTGTTCAAAAAGACTGTACATGAGGACTGGCAGGGAAGTGAAACAAATGTTGTACAAAGTCAGGTACACGCTGTCATACAGAGTCTGAAAGGTGAGAAAGGTGGAGAATTGGTGATTGTTTAAAAACCCATATACACAGAACTCAACCAACCCCCCCCCCCCATCTAAATGTCTGTTTTATTATATTAACATTAACAAAGAAGAAATGCAATAAAGATACCATACTTAAATTTCTTCTTTCCCCCCTCAAACACATATGGTCTTAACATTCTTTCTAATAAAAATATCAGTGTAGAGAAGTCCTGCAAGAACAGGGAATGTTGTGTTTAATTCTAGGTAAGTATGGGTTAACAGGAGTTCTTGGGTGCAGTATCCAAAAAGGTATAAAAAAGAACATCAACTTGGAAAATGCTGTGTGCGTGTGTGTGTATTGGGAGGAAAAGGCTTTAACATTGGACAAAGCTAATAGTCACTTTATGTCAGTGTTTCTCAACCTGGGCAACTTTTAAGGTGTGAGGACTTCAACTCCCAGCATGAGGTATGCTGGGAAATGAAGTCCCTACATCTTAAAGCAGCCCAATTGAGAAACGCTGCTTGTAGATGATAGATGCTGAGTGGTCACCTGTGGGTTTTTCTTTTCTTTTTTTACTTTCTTATTGAAGCAAAGAGTAGTTTGTCACCAAATTCAGTCCAGATCATCCCATGATCCATGTAAAAGAAAAGTTAAGAACTGGAGCAGCGTAGAAGGAAAGGCAGGAGAGGTGGGAAGGGTGTTTGCTATCATCTTATTCTTCACTTCAGAAAGAAACTCCTTCTGTTTAAATGGTACCTGGTTTCTTTTCAGTCAACCCACTTTTTAATTTCATATTGTTGTCTGTTTAGAATAATACTTAGAATACTGAATTTAGAGGTAGGAAAATCAGCCTGTGATAAGACTCCATTACTAATCATTCTAAATGGGGGCACTCAGGATTATCGATAGTCTTGATTTGGCTATAACTGTCACTTGCCTCCCAGATATAAAATGAAATCCGTTCTTTAAAAGTGCTTTTGGCTTTCAAACATAGAAAAAGAATTAGCAGAACTAATCAGCACTATCCAAAGATAAATATTACTTTGACTAAACTCTTATTCCGTACGGAACTCTTTAACACAACTTTCAATTTTTATCTTTCTGATTGCTTAACAATAAAATGGTTCTCAACCAGAAATGGGATTGTTCTTGGATATATTTTTACAGACAGAAAAGGTAAAGGAAATATATAGGGATGGAGAAACAGATGCTAATGAAACATCATCTAGCTGTTTAGTAATAGGTGTTTGATTTTAGTTCTGATACAGTGTGAATTCTTGGTGGCTGCCTACAAATCAGAATGTGAAGACAGAAAGAAGAGAAGAATAAAAAATCTGACTACTCACTTGTTGTGAAAATAAGCAGAAGAATTGATATAAAAACTGCGGTGTAATAAAACACACATTCTGGAAAACAAGATGTGATGCAACCAGTGAGAGACATAAAACACCAAATTCTATCACGCTCATCCAAACATATCTTGAATATCAAAAGAAGTAAAAAACACCCTCATCTACTGAGATTCATCATCCAGATGGATAATGGAACTCACTGGAATTAAACTACTCATTGAAGAAAGTGGTGGAGAGGAAGTTCTCCCACAAGGCACTAGGGTTCCATCAATGTCACAACCAATGAAGCAATCTTCACTAATACCACCACCACTCTAAACTTCGTAACACCTTCTTTGAAATAGAAAGCATGAACTCTTTCCTGACTCCTAGCCAGAAGGCTCTCATCTCACTTTGCCTTTTAACTGTGATCTGGATGATGTGCCCATCAAAAGAGATCACAGCCTGTTTATAATCTAGATTCTGTAACCATGATTAAAAGCTGGTTTATCAGAAATAGTTTTACTGCAGGTATGTATTGGCTTGGAAGTGAAGAAATTAGCAGCAACTTAGTGGAAGGTGATGGAAGCTCCTACTGAATAACATCAGGGAAAAAACTTTACAAGTAGTCCTTGACTTATAGCCATTCCTTTAGCAACCGTTCAAAGTTACAATGTCATTAAAAAGTGACCTATGACTAGACCTCACACTTATGACTGTTGCAGCATCCCGGTATCATATGATTGCCGTTTGGAACCTTCCCATAGTTTCTGACAAGCAGAGTCAGTGAGGGTGGTCAGATTCATTTAATGACCCAGATGTTTCACTTAACAACTGCAGTGATTTGTTTAACAACCCCATGGGAAAAATATTGTAAAATTGGGCACAACTTAGTCCCCACTGTGTGTCCTAAGTTGAGGACTATGTATCTATTTGACTATATTCATAGGTTGTTTTTCTAGAAACCAAATCTCTGTGTTCATGGTTTGTTTTAAAAAGTGCTTTTTGTAGAATGCTACAACATATATTTTTTTCTCTACAGCAATGAGGAAAGATGGGGTGAAACGGAACTCCATTTGGATGGTTTCATTTTTGTCAGCCTACATTCAATGAAATTAAGGGAATCAGAAGGGAGGGGGACGAATAGGATGGAGGCATTTGCATTCCTGCATAAGGAGATGCACAGAACTATGGGCTATCCCATATCATTTTAGCATGGTTAATATGCTGTCATTGTTACGCTGGCACTTGAAACAAAATTTGGGAAAATGCTAGTGTTAACAATGACATAGGACAGGTAGTCCTCTACTTACAGCCACAACTGAGCCCAAAATTTCTGTTCTTAAGTGAGACATTTGTTAAGTGAGTCCCCCCCCCCCCCATTTTACAATATTTTTTGCCCAAGCTGTTAAGTGAATTACTGCAGCTGATAAGTTAGTAACCTGGTGGTTAAGTGAATCTGGTTTCCCCATTGACTTTGCTTGTCAGAAGGTTGCAGAAGACCCCGGGATGTTGCAACCGTCATAAGTATGTTGCCAGTTGGCAAGAATCTGAATTTTGATCACATGATCATGGGGATACTACAAAGGTCATAACTCTGAAAAATGGTCATGTCACTTTTTTCAGTGCCGTTGTAACTTAGAACAGTCACTAAGTAAACTGCTGTAAGACGAGGACTACCTATAGATCCAGTTTCTACAACACCCCTTTTCTTAATATCACCCTACTAAACTTTACACGTTCCAAGCATAATCGTAATGATAATTGAATATCAGAGTTTATGCACTACCCACTTTTGCAAGTAAACCCAACTATTTAAAGAAAAAGTTCGGAGCTAAAAGAATCCCCAGTAATATGCTACGGACACTTACCTTGTAAAAAAAGTACTGTACAAGGGTTGCTATCCTAATATAATAAAGGTGGCCATGGACAAAAAGTAACTTGGAGAGGAATTTAAATCTTGCTATTGCATAGTCACTGTTTCTTACAGCTTGTCTGCCTTCTTTTCCCATGATACCTGCAATTTGGGTAAGCAAAAATAACAAAATGAACTTGTCTTTTTAAGCATGAGGACACGTATAAGTCAAAGTGAAACAACATATGCAACAATAATGGAAGATTCAAGACCCTTTTAGGGTGCTGTCTGGAGATTTAAGAGGCCTGACCAGATAAGAGCACACCTTTTATTCCACAACAGAAAGAGTAGTGGTTGTATATATGTATATAGGTATTTTCTATTGCTTAGTTACACAACCAAGCTCTTTTTTTCATGGAAGGGCCCATAAATATTTTGGGGGCTGGGGGGGGGGGATTCTTCTACCAATAGCCATATTCACCATTTACTATCCTGCTTCAGAGGATAGTAAATGTTTGAGACCAAAATGTCTCAAACATTTTGGTCTCAAAACTAATTTTCATTATTAAACATGGCTGAGGATCACAGAGAGCTTCAGTTGATGTGGATTATGTCTATCAATATATATTGTATTAGAAATTAGAACTGAGAAATGTTGCCATATTTTGATTTTGCGGACCCCTGAAGGGATCTCGGCTACACTTTGAGATCCTCTGCTCTAGAGGAAACAGCTTGGAAACAGTGGCAAGCCATCAATTCCCATAGAAAAAATAACATTTTTGAAATCTTTTTTACTATTTTAGGTTCCTTCAAATATGCTAGGACTATATACCCAGCTGGCATTAACACTCACAGCAAATTTGGTGGGCATCAAATTGCAGAAGGTGTGGTGTTGTTAATTTATTTACTTACTTGGCTTATCATTCTACTGCAATCTGATAAAGTTTAAGTGGCCTGCATTTCCATCTTACATTAAGATGATTATGATAATAATTACTATGATAATAATCTATCACTATTGTTGTACGTACGCTGAGAGCTTATGCATTGGAGACAAATTCCTTGTGTGTCTAATCACACTTGGCCAATAAAGAATTCTAATATTCTAATTAAAAGAAAAACAAAATTACAATCTAAAAATTAACAATTGCAACTAAATTTTAAAGGAAATATTTGCAACCGAGAAGATGCAATCATAAACCCAGCACAGGATCATTACTTATGCCTTTCTTAAAAAGCCAGGTTTTAAAAGATTTTCTGAAGCTTGGGACTTATTCTGAATTTGGGATGATGCTTTTAAATTGAAGGCCTTTTCAGAAGACATTCCTGGTTGACAAGTTGGATGTAAGGATGCTTTACTTATTTAAGCATGTTTTACTTTTTATTTCATTTAACTGAAAGGCTCCTGTGTACATAGAATCTAGTTTATTACTTTTTTATCTATGGAGATTATACCCGTTATAAATCCCAATTAACAAAGTTTAAATACAGTGAGACTTTGACCATCACCTAAATATTACCTATGCCAACATGAGCTTCTTGTATCATGCTCACATCATTAGCTCCATCACCGATAGCTAATGTGATAGGCTTCTCTGGAGATGTTTTCAGCAGCCGTACAACCTGTAAAGGAAAGAGAGACTTCTTTTTTTAAAAAATTGACATTATTTGGGAATCAGTACATACAGTACATAGTGGTGATTCCCACTTCTGAAGTGGTGATTCCCACTTCTGATCAAGACTTCTGAAGCTGACAGGTAGGGAAATGTTGATGTACTTTGGGTACCAAGTAGTGGTTGACTTACGATGACAACTGAACCCAAAATTTCTGTTGTTAAGTGGTCTTTGCCCCATTTTACAATCTTTCTTGCCATAGTTGTTGAGAATCACTGCAGCTGTTAAGTTAATAACATGGTTGTTAAGTGTACCTGGCTTCCCCACTGACTTTGCTTGTCAGAATTTCACAAAAGGTGATCACATGACCCTGGGACACCGCAACCTTCATCAATGTGAGTCGGTTCATAAATATGAGTCAGTTGCCAAAGTGTCTGATATTTGATCACGTGGCCATGGGGTTGTGAAAAACGGTCATAAGTCACTTTTTCCAGTGCCGTTGTAACTTTGAACCGTCACTAAACCATTCAAAGTTGAGGACTACCTATACACCTATAAAAGCACATGCCAATCATATGGCAAGACAGTCAATAGCAAGCCCTACTGCCTATCTATTTTGTAGACAGGTGGGCAGGGGGTTATTAGGCAGAACACTCAATCCTTCTAAACACAGCTGGAAACAGGAAGGCTGAGAGAGGCCGAGGCAGGTTATAGCAGCCAAACACAGCTGATGCTCAAACTTCATGAGCTCCCGATAACTCACCTTTGCTTTCTGAAGGGGTGCCATGCGACAGCACAGGACAGCAGAGCAATTTCGGCAGACCTCCATGAAGAGTTTCTCGTGTTGCCTGAGGGCAAGGGAGAGGCTGGTCCCATCCACTACCAGCCCGTGCTGGATTACGTGGTCATCCTTTATTCTAACAAAGGGGGAGAGAACAGGACAAACAAATCCATCGTTGTTTCATGAAGGACACCAGTCAGACACATCAAATGCTTTACAATCAACTGCAGACAATGAGAACAGACTGAACTAGGGACCCTTCCCACCTGCTAAGCAGCAGGTTCATTAACATATTATATGCTCATTTTTGCAGCGAAGATGATGTAATAAGATTGCTTTGTTTTCATATTGAAAATTTCGTGTTAGTAACATTAAAAAAAAATCTCAAGTTGGAAATGTCCTATTTTAGTTATTTCTGAGCTGATTAAAACTGTCCCTCATGTTGTTTACAACCACTCTAGAAGTGCTCCGAGTTCAAAATAGGGCCATTTTGAGCTTAGAGTACTGTTGGTAATGCCAACAACACAACTTATTTATAGTTCAAAACCAGGTTTTTCTAGTTTATAGTCAAGTGTCTATTGAAAAAAAAAGTTAGAATCTTTTAAAACAGTGTTTCTTAACTGTTTTTTTTCTCTCAGGACTTGTATGCTAGAACTGTATCTGTTATTTTGGAATATTCTGAACAACATAAAAGTTATGGAGGACCCCAAAAGAGCTTTTCATATTATGGGTTCATATTTTTTGATGTCTGACATATTAAAAATTAAAACTGATGCATTCACTGCTGCTGCCATTTCCCACAACTGCTTGTTAGGATTTTAATATTGTATTATTTTTTTAAACATAGGCTGGTAAATAATTTTGATTTTGAGCACCCCTGACAGTGTCTTGGGGGACCCTCAGGGGATCTTGGACCACACTTAAGAAACACTATTTTAGAAACCTCGGTTCCCTATCAGAGGCTGTCGACATCGGTTCGGAAATGTGCAAGGTTTTACCTCTTGGCGAGCTGCCTTAATTGCTCCACACACGTACTGTCTGATTTGTGCTGCACTAGTTCCAGGATGTTCATGGTTCTGTGGAAGTGTCCGCATGATAAGCTAACGCTTACTGCCGTTTCGTGCTTGTCTCCAGTGAGCACCCACACTTTAATCCCCGCCAATCGAAGAGCTTCTATGGTTTCCTGGACTTTATCTTGCAGCCTAAAAGTAAGCAAAGTGCATTGGTGAACAATTATCGGAACTGATTGGTCAGGATCAAAATGTCTCTGCTTAGACACATTGTAGCATAGCTGCTGTAATCTGTTAGTACAAAATCAGAAAGACTCTGATAGGGTCTTTTCAGACTAACAAATTTTATTCAGAGATGACTGCAGGTAGTGCTCAACTTACAACAGTTCATTTAGTGACTGTTCAAAGTTATAATGGCTTTGAAAAAAGTGACTTCAGACAATTTTTCACACTTTTTTCACATCCCCATGGTCACGTGATCAAAATTCAGACCCTTGGCAACTGGCATCTATTTTTTGGCCATTGCAATGTCCCAGGATCACATGATCATTTTACGACCTTCTGACAAGCAAAGTCAATGGGGAAGCCAGATTCACATAAAACCATATTACTAACTTAACTGCAATGATTCACTTAACAATTGCTTCAAGAAAGGTTGTAAAATCAGGCAAAACTCACTTAACAAATGTTTCACTTGTGGTCGTAACTTAACTGTGGTTGTAACTTGAGCTGTACTATTTTTACAGCTCTGACGAAGATGGATGTGATGAAGTGAACTGTAGTACAGGAAAGCTTATCCCTTTGAATATATTTTGTTTGTCTGGAAGGGGGCTACCGGGCTCCTGCTGATTTTTTTTTATTTTGTTGAGATTATCTGTTTTCACTATTAATAGAGAAGATCGAAAGGATTGCCTTCGAACCACTGGATATTTTATATTCAAACACTTCGGGTATTTCATGTCTGAGCATCCAATGCATTCATCAAACTTGGTCAAGCTATTTCCATATTCAGGCTAATTCCAAGAATCAACAACTCAAGAAACTAGGTTCATTTTTAACAGGCACAACAGTGGAAAGTAGCACCTAGTAACTTTGATTGCTCTTGGGGAAAAAAAGCTAAGTAGGAAGGATCTAGATCACCAGGAATCCTACAGTATAAGCTAGACGAGGAAGTTACAAACAAATAAGTATTCCCAAAGAATGCTGGGGCAAACTACTTCTGCATTGTAGTGAAGAAAATGTCACCAAGAATTGAATTTTACTCGCACTGTCACCTTTATGCATCAAGGCCATCAACAAATCTCCAAATACCTAGGCAAAGGTCCTCTTTGTACACTTCAGTTCAGCATTCAATACCATCATTCCAGACACTCTTCTAAGTAAATTAAACCAACTAGCGGTACCTGAACACACTTGTAAGTGGATCATAAGCTTCCTAACAGACAGGAAGCAGCAGGTGAAGCTAGGTGGAATCACATCCGATACCTATACAATCAGCACAGCAGCCCACCAAGGCTGTGTGCTTTCTCCACTTCTCTTCTCCCTATATGCCAATGACTGCATCTCAAATGATCCATCTGTTAAAATACTGAAGTTTGCTGATGACACAATAGTGATTGGTCTCATTCGAGACAAAGATGAATCTGCATACAGACAGGAGGTTATACAACTTGCCTCGTGGTGTAACCGGAACAATCTGGAACTGAACACACTCAAAACCGTAGAAATGGTGATAGACTTTAGAAGAAACCCTCCCATACTACCACCTCTTACAATACTAGACAACACAGTATCAACAGTAGAGACCTTCAAATTTCTAGGTTCTACTATATCACATGACCAAAAATGGACACCTAACATCAAAAACATCATCAAAAAAGCACAACAAAGAATGTTCTTTCTGTGCCAACTCAGAAAGCTCAAACTGCCCAAGGAGCTGCTGATACAGTTCTACAGAGGAATTATTGAGTCTATCATCTGCACCTCTATAACTGTCTGGTTTGGTTCTGCAACCCAACAGGACAGACACAGACTTCAGAGGATAATTAGGACTGCAGAAAAAACAATTACTACCCACCTGCCTTCAATCGAGGACCTGTATACTGCACAAGTCAAAAAGAGGGCTGTGAAAATATTTACAGACCCCTCACATCCTGGACATAAACTGTTTCAACTCCTTCCCTCAAAACAACGCTATAGAGCACTGCACACCAGAACAACTAGACACAAGGACAGTTTTCCCCCGAAAGCCATCACTCTGCTAAACAAATAATTCCCTCAACACTGTTCAACTATTTACAAAGTGTACACTACTATTACTGTTAATCTTCTCATCACTCCTTATCACCCATCCCCTCCCACTTGTGATTGTAGGACTGTAACTTTGTTGCTTGTATCCTTACATGTATGATTTGATTGTTGATTGTACCCTATGACTATCATTAAGTGTTGTACGTTATGATTCTTGATTCTTAATGAATGTACCTTTTCTTTATGTATACTGAGAGTATTTACACCAAGACAAATTCCTTGTGTGTCCAATCACACTTGGCCAATAAAGTATTCTACATTCTACAACAGGATGGTTACCGCTGCTACAGGTCAGATTTCATGTCATAGGGGAACATGCTGGATAGCACAAGCTATCTCTTAATGATCTCAATTCCCAGTAGAGTCCATATTTTTTCTCTGAGCTTGGCTGTTTTCTTGTAGAGGTTTCATTCAGACAACTAAGCTCAGAGAACAACAAGGACTCCACAGTTCAACCCTGAGCTATAAATATTATATTTTATCGATTTCAATTTCCAGACTCACCACACGGAATCTTTTTAATTGGGTCTGTTAAATACCAATTGTCACCTTCCTAACTCATCTTATGGTTGTGGAGTGGCAGCTACAAAGTTTTGAAGTGAAACATGAAACGTGTTCAATAGGATAGAGGTAGTCCTTAACTTAGGACCATAATTGAGCCCTAAATTTATGTTGCTAAGCAAAAGTTAAGTGAGTTTTGCCCTATTTTACAACCTTTCTTGCCATAGTTGCTAAGTTAATCACCACATTATTGAGTTAATAACATGGTTGTTAATTGAATCTGGCTTCCTCTGATTTTGCTTGTCAGAAGGTTGCAAAAAGTGATCACAGGACCCCTGGGACCCCGCAACTGTCATAAATATACACCAGTTTTCAAGTGTCCAAATTTTGATCATGTGATCATGGGGATACTGCAATGGTCAAGTGTGAAAAATGGTAATCACTCCCTTTTTTCAGTGCTATTGTAATGATCATTAAACAAAGGGTTGTTAAGTCAAGGACTATCTCTACTTGTTCACACAAGGCTGGGTGCTGTGATTCCAAGTGCCATCTTCCCTCTTTATGCTGAATGGAAAAATCCTACATATCACATAATACTATTTACGGAGAGATGAATGAGCATCAAGCTATTTTGCCTGTGTCAGAATTTCTTTTCCCAAATAAACAGGAAGTATGTACTTGTCTTCGACTCCTGTAGCTCCAAGTAATTCCAAGTCTTTTTCAATAAAGTTATATGCCTCTGCCAGCCGTTCTTCTTGTTGCTGCAAGGCAGTTTTTGCTTCAAAAAGACGTTGCTCCACTTCTTTATACTCCTCCTCTGTGAACTTTCTGTATGCTACACAAAGAGTCCTTAGCCCTTTCTGTGGAAAAAATAGAGAGTGGGTACTAAATAAGACACTGATGAAAAGGTTTACTTACTGATGGGAGTGCGCTGCTTGATTAAATGAAAGCCCTGACAGTTTAGGTCTCCCAAAAAGTGCCTTTTTTGACAAGGCACCTTCACTTATACTCCCATTAATGGAAGAGGGTGAAACCAAGCATAACAGACCAACGTTCAAGGACAGATGCGGTCTGCAGTCTGCCCCCCAAAATTGCTAATTTTGGAAGGCAATGAAGAGATTCTTCTCTCTGGGAGAAGAAGGTGCCACTTAAATCAGAGGCAACTGGATATGGGGAGAAGTAGGAGGAAGAGAGGGAAGTAGAGAAAGGTGCGGGGTCTGAAGAAGATGAAATGGTTTATTTTTCCAAATGCCATTCTCTCAAGATGTTTTGATTGCAATTCCTATAGTCTCTGAACATCAAAGCTGGGGCTGATGGGAAAGTTTGTGGTAAAATCAGGCACTCCCATCAACCCCAGCTTAATAACAAAATCCATAAATGGGGTCGGCATCAGGTAGCCATTTGAAGATCTCAAGCCAATGCACTCTGAATAAAATTTCCTAGCAATGCCCAACACATATGTAAATCAGCTCTTAACCCAAACACTTAATGGACCTGAAATATTATATATTATACTGCTTATTATAGTATCTTTGTATTTGTTACAGTAATAATTGCCTTTTAATTTAGCACAGGGGTGGGGAACTATGGCCCCTGTGTGACCGGTGGACTTCAACTCCCAGAATTCCTGAGCCAGCCATGGGGCCATAGTTCCCCACCCCTGATTTAGCAGCACCTCTACCATTATCTACCAGAAAGTTTGAAAGCAGTGCTCTGAACATACCAATGCAAATTCATCCACATGGAGTCTTGTTTTTTCTACCTCACCATTTTTACTGGTAGGAAGAATAACAGAATCTGCTCCTTTGGTAAATAAGAGTTTTTCACCTATCCAAGAAAACAAAAAGTGCAAATTAGTAGCGCTTCTCAGGGGCTATTAATGTTCTTTTTATAGAACTGGCTTTAGGGGGTCGGAGAATACGTAACATCAAAAACATCACATTTTTAAAAAATCTTACCCGACGGACTTTCTACGATCACACTCATTCTCCTACGATTGGCATCAAATTCCAGTAGATGTAGTAATTTGTACCTTTAAAAGAAAAGAGGCTCGTGTTTAATTTGGGTTTGGGAAATGAAGGCCATTCTTATGAAATGTAGAAAATTATGAAAACTGCATGCCTGCAATTCACACATATCGTTATACTTGACAGCATGCAGGGCCTGGAGAAGAGAAGAGGACTCTTCTCAACAGAGTGGCTGATTATAGTCATTTCTGTAACTGATGGGGGTAGAGAAACAGGAAGGAACAAAGGTGAAGGGACTCCTGAATGTACCATTTCCCCAAAGCCGTTTGCAGTTTACTTGATCTTCACATCTCGTTTCACTAAGTGGCTTACTTATAAGGATTCATTTTAAGTGGATTTCTATTTCTTCAATGTAGCCGAATACCACCTGTACTTAGGAAAACAAAGTGCTCACAGAAAGCCAGTTTTAAAGCTGACATATCATTAACTGTTCAAGTGACACTTAAGGAGAGGAGATCCTGGTTTGTAGCTTAGAAGGAATACCAGTATTTTAAGAGCACATTAATGGAAGATACAATGTTAAGAGTAAAAGAGTAAATCAAGAAAGATGCCTGGACCAGGTGGGTTATTGAGGCTGCATTACAAGTGTTTTGAGGATGAATGTTTACAACCTCTACAAAGCACAGTGAATTCTATTTTACAGGGAGGAAAAATATCAAAGAGAGTTGGAAAGAAGCCAATATAATATTAATGGCTAAAGAGGGATAAGATTTGACTTTAGCAACAAACTACAAACCAATGTCAATACTGACTAATGATTGTAAGTTGGTTACAATGATTTTAGCTGAAAGACTGAAAATAATTTTGCAAGAATTTATTCATGAGGGTCAGGGTGGATCTTTATTTCAAATCTATCCTGTAAATGGAACAACTTGCCTCCAGAAGTTGTGAATGCTCCAACACTGAAAATTTTAAAGAAGAGATTGGACAACCATTTGTTTGAAATGGTATAGGGTTTCCTGAGCAGTGGGACAGCAGGTTTCCTGAGCAGCGGGTTGGACTGTAAGACCTCCAAGGTCCCTTCCAACTCTGTTATTCTGTTAAGTGTGAAGAACATGACAGGATATTTTATCATATATAGGAGGTGGGTAAAAAAAACCGCAAAAATTTTGGATAGAAATCAATGCACTAATTCAGAAGACATTAAAAACTAATGTATATCCAGACATTTTGGGATTAATAGACAGACAACTAGAAAAAAGCCACGGTACTTTGCTTTTATATACGACAACTGCAGTGAGATGGCTATATGTTCAAAAGTGGAGAAGTTCGAACACTACTCACAATAGAGTAATAGATGATAAAGATAATGGCACTTTCAGAAATGGCTAAATTATGTTTTTTTATTAGAGAAAACACAATTTCTACATTTATGATTGACTAGAAATCCTTTATAGACTTTCTGTATCAAACAGAAAAAATGCACTTTTGACTTGTGGTTTAGATAATTAGAAAAAAAATAGGGAATAGTAAGCTATTACTCTGTAATCAGAGTAAAAACTTTGTAATCATACTTTAATATTTGCTGCAAAGGAAAATTCAGCATTGGAAGCATTTTTAAAATGCTTTTTATTTTTATCTTTTGTTTCTGAACTTTTGTCTTTTTCTTTTTGTTTCCTTTATGCTGTATTAGTTTGCCTTAGTTTTTATGTTATCTTTCAAAACTTTTAATAACCTTTGTATTTAAAAAAAGAGCACAAAGCTACTTTGCAAAACTGTTCCCAATCAAAATTAAAAGACACATAATATCACTTTAAAATTATAAAACTCAACTGATTAAAACATTAAAAATAATAAAAACCTGGCACCAATTTGTTTTAATGTACGATTATCTAATCTTCTCCCAATGCTTGGGGGGAAAGCAAGCCTTTTGCACAGGACATGAGACAAAGCCTTAAGAACAAATGCAAACTGAGAAGACAGTAATAAATAGCAAGTGTTGCCTCTATAAAAAAGCTGAAGAAACAGTGGACCACATTGATAGCAGTTGGCAAGGACACAGGCTGACCACAAACAATGGCACGACAAAGAAGCAACAATGGAGCATTGGAAGATCTGCAAGAAATATCCTTTGCCTGCAAGCAAAAACTGGTGGGATCATAAAATAGAGAAAGTCATAGGAAGTAAAGAAGCTCTGGGACTTTAGAATTCAAACAGACAAGCACCTGTCACAAAGCACCCAGACTTAACCACTGTCCATAAGAAAGATAAAAGTCTGGATAGTGGATGTAGCAATACCCAAGACAGCATAATAGAAGAAATAAGTCTAATAATAACAACAATAACAAGACTTCACATATATGATCATCAAGTTTCTTGGAGGAAGGCCTGGATACAAACTGGTAAATGCTAACCCAGTATATAGCCTATTTAACATTCTTTTGCTTCCTTCAGTTGAGACTGTCTTTTTCTTAATCCCAACAAATTTATAACTCGTGATCCAAAGATCTGAAGAAATACTTTGTTGAAAAAAAAAGTTATGTTCCTTAGTTATTATTTCCTTTTATATTGCTTCTTTCTGCACAGGGGGAGTGAGATAAAGATTCTCATGAAAGATTAAAATGGGTTAAGATTCAGAAATTAGGATCTTGTTAATCCATTTTGATGGGAGTTTCATTCAGCCTTCCATCCTTCCGAGGTCTGTAAAATGAGGAGCCAGATTGTTGGGGGAAATATGCTGACTGTGTAAGCCACTTAGACATGGCTGTAAAGCCCTGTGAAGAGGTATATAAGTCTAAGTGCTATTGCTATCTCTAGGACCATAGATTTTTTCACTCTTTTTCAATCGAATTTCAACTATTTTTTTTAAAAAAACAAGGAAACATCTTCTTTGTTTTTTACCTTTCTGGCTTTCCACCGCTTTTAAGCTCCATGCTTTCTGCATTTGCCCCAGTAAACACAACACCAACCCTAAAAATTCAAAAGAAAGTGAACGAAGAGGTAGCCTTATGGAAATTAAAAACAATGTCTTAAGATAGAAAAGCAACATTACTCACCATTATCCAGGCATAGTTTTTAAATGTTTTTAGAAAGAATCTTAAATAACTGTTTCATGAATGTGCTTTTAGATTTCATAATAAGACTCTTGTTTAAGGATGGTTGAACTTAACAGTAACAAGCTGTATTAAAGCCAGTGAATTTAATCAAAAATTAAATAAATTTCAAAACTAACATCTAGACTCCAATTTTTGCTAATCTCTATGCAACGAGGTTAAAGAACAAGAATTAAAATGTATGCCGTATAGATTTAGTTACGTTAGGAAAAGGAACAAGATTGTACCAGTGCCACAGCGCAAAATCCCCACCGCTCTGTGCTCTGCAAATCTTGCTATGGCCAGCTGATGTACGTCATCTTCCTCCCGCCACTGACAAAGCACACAGGTTTGTCCCTATGCAAGGCAAGGGCTGGAGGTCCTGGACCTTCTTCCAGAGGCCACACACTCAATTCTCCAAATTACAGGCGCCCTCCATGTGATGCTTTGGAAAGCATCAGAAGTTTTCTGAAGGCTTTCCGAAGCATTGGAGAAGGCATGACCTTCTTGCAAGGTTTCAGCCTCCTGAAGTATGACAAAAACAGTATGCACAATTTAGGGGGTTTCTCTCAAGGAATTGCACAAGTTGATGTCAGGTAGGTGTCTGCTATGGATCCCTTATTTGGATTTCTACACTCAACAGGGAGTTTGTGGCTTAAATGGCATTCTCAGTGTGACATTTCTACATCCCTTCTGATTTTCTATCATGTCAATCAATGATTCTCAATCAGTAAATCACGCTGGGAATGATCAGTGGAAAAAGGAGAAAAGGCCGTCCTATCATCTTCTGGTTGGGCATTATAAAAGATGATACTGGGATGACAATGGAGGATCTGAAGGAGGAGGTGTGAGTCAGAGGGACATAGAGACTGCTGATTCATAGAGTGGCCGAGGGACGGACACGACTGATTGGCTGACAGTGATGTCTGATTCTCAAGGTACTGAAATTCTGCAATACTTTGGCTGCAGTTTTGTTGAGACTCATCAGCTGAATTTACGAAATGGAAGAGCGAGGAGGGTAAATCTAACAGAGGGCCCAGAAACAATCAGTTTGGTATGATGGCTTTTACTTTACTAACCAACCATAGTTGTGTTACAAACACTAATGCAATTACTCCTGGTAATTCATCCCTGGTATTCTAGAAGTCATACAACAGCACATCAGGTAAAGAGTTAAAGAAAGGCTGGGCAGTAGTTGGACCTCTCTTCTCCTTGCTTGCCTCCTCAACTGGACTCCAGACAAAGACTTATCCATTTATAATGCCTTATAATCCTTACCTGCGAGCAGCTTCAACTAAAGCTTTTTCATCTGGGGATGAGGCATAGTACTCCAATTCAGATGGTAGGCCATTGCTACGCCAAGGGCTGTCACAAATGCCATCAGTTTGGTCATTATTAATCTGCACTGTATGACAGAGACAAAGAGCTTTCAGGAAGAGTTCTTCCTCACGTGTCTGTTAAAAAAAAATTAAAGACAAAACACTGCAATGAATCTGATTGATTGATTTTATCTTTCTCCTATGAAGCAAACATCTACCAGTTATGATCAGCCACAAGAATATAAGCCTGTGTATTTCCAGAGTGAACATATGACCTACTGTAGCTGGAGGACTGTTCAGTGCTTTGGATAGTATTATGCTGTTTTTTAGTTAAAAGAAAACAACAACACACAATACTGTCCAAAGCACTGAACAAGGTCTTACAATGTTTTATGAAATCTCTGGACAAGGATTTTACATATTTCACGAATGGTCCTATCTACAAGTTTATTAAAATAGCTATTTTTTATTAACAATTAAAAGTCTACAGATAGTCCTCAACTTATGAAGGTAACTGAGCTAGAAGATCATTATATGACTGTGCCCAATTTTACAAGCAGGGTGTATGTGTTGCAGTCGTTAAGCAAATGCGATAGTTGTAAAGCAAATATAACGGTTGTAAAGTGAGCTCACTGTTCGCTATAGGGAATTTGGGAAATAAATGCCAGTTTCTGGAAAAACATTGTAAACTGTGGGACGCTGCAAATGACTATAAATGTGGGTTGGTTACTAAATGTCCGAAATGTGGTAATTTGACAATGCGGGAGGGGATGGGAGGTGGATGGTGGAATTTCAAATTCGATTTGTAAGTTCCTTTTTTAGGGTCTGTTGTAACTTTGCTAATGAGTTGAGGACTACAAGCTACCAGGTGTTTTCTATTATTTCATACAGAATCTAAACATGGGCTTTATATAATGAACATGTTATTGTACATATAGATATTACATATGTAGGAAGTCTAGTCCGTCAAACCTCTTTCTTCTTCATTTTATAATCCAAGAGACAGAATTAGGAGTACAATGCACATAATCTTCCCAGCTATTAGGAGTTTTTATGTAATGTTTAAATTTTGAATATGTTTTATTTTAATTTTGTTTAGAAGGTATTATTAGATACAGCCATGCAAGATAAAATTTGTATTTTTTAATTACTAAATTCATATCCTGCCTTTATTTTGTGCATCTTAAAGCAGCGTACATAATTCTCCCACCTGCTGGTCAAAAGATTAAATAGTTGTCCTACTTCAAGATCAGTCTGAATTTCTTTTCCTCAAAATACAGAGGCTTCAGTTAGAAGAGTATTAATAATGTATTACACTAACTGTGCTAAATCTGCATTGGCACTGCTGCCATCACATTCTGAATTTGACAGAGTATAAACACATTTAAATAAAATAACTGTTGGAGTTGGGATTTGAAAGTAGCTCTTTTGGATAATTGATACATTATACTCAAGCGATAATAAGGATCAATGGATTGAATACAAGGTTTTTAAATATAGGATTCCAAACACGGATGCTCACTCTCAATTAGCACAGAACATTAGGACAAATACAAAAAAATGGAGCAATTGATCTCTTTGCAGATAATATACTAATTTTTCTTAGAAACCCAAATATTAACAGATCTTAGTGTCAGTGTTCCAAGTAACAACCTCCTTCCCAGCTGACACTTAGTTGCAGTCAGAATTAAAGGGTTAATTTCATACAATGTAAAGTTTAGAAGTTACTTTTGGAAAACACTCATAAAAAGAGCTTCAAGAAGGATCCGAACTTTAGACCATAGAAATTAATTTTAGGAAGAACTTACAAGGCTGGGCTGTACTCCATTTGGAAAGTCTTCTATCAATCCCTCGGGAACTAATCTGCCATTGATTTCTTGGTATTTGAGGCCATTAATAGAACATTCCCGAAACTGCATCACATTTTCTGTCAATGTGCCAGTTTTATCTGTAAATACATACTCCACCTACAGTAAAAGTTAAGAAGTTATGTCAGTCAAATAAATGTAAGAGTTAAAAAAAAAAAAGCAAGTCTCCTTCACACCCACTAGTGCAGGGGTGTCAAACTCAAGGCCCGGGGGGGGGCTGGATCCAGTCCGCGGGGTGCTTAGATCTGGCCCGCGGGGCTTCCCTGGAAACAGCAAAGGACTGGCCCGTGGTGCCTCTGCCAGTGAAAAGAGAGCTAGGAAGGGCTGCCTGTGTTCCTTCCAAGCTCTGGTGGTAGAGGGAGCTCAGGAGCCCGTTTTGCTGGCAGAGTGCTCAGACCACCACAAGTGCCCCCGACATGAGTAACGTTGACCTGGACACACCCACCGCCCCCCCCCCCAAGGTCAAACACAACCCTGATGCAGCCCTCAATGAAAATCGAATTTGACACCCCTGCACTAGTGGGACATTCATATGGTTTGCAGATGCTGAATGCTGCACTCAGTTCAGACTTGTGCACATTTATTGTGCTTATCTGAAATAGGTGTAATGGGTTTATTTATACACACATGGAAAATAAGTATTAAATAATCTTTTTTTAATAATTACACAATGTATCCTACATGGCAGCAGTGCTCATTTAAAATCTCAGATTGTGAACCGCTGCTTGACCACTTTCGAATTACAACTTTTAAGTGAGACAAAAAGTTATAAAATATATAGGGAATAGTAACTGTGTGAAAGAACAACTAGGAATTTAACCACTTTTAATTAATTAAATCAAATCGAGTTCATGTTTCAAACACTATTTTGAATTATTTTATACCTGTCCCAGTTCTTCATTCAGGTCAGATGTATTTACTTGAGCTTTTTCATTTGTTTCTTCATGATAGAGATCAAGGTCCCAACCAATAAAAAAAGACCCAAGAAATTTCTGCATCTCCACAGTCACATAAAGTGAAATGGGTATAATGAAGTTGTAAAGTACCAGGAAAGCAAGAAAATCTGAAATGAACCTCAAGATCTAAAAGAAGAAAGGAAATAGTATTATTAAATTTAAAAAATAAAACAGAAAGCATTTGAGGACAAAGATTATAGCAGATGCCACCAAAATACAATTATGTGGAACAGCGATACTGATATAGTGAGGGTATATCCTGTAATAACCGAACCTACTTACAACCATAATTGAGCCAAAAGTATTGTGCTGGTCATTAAGTAGGTCATCCTGTGACTGACCCAATTTATGACATTTTGTGGCAATAAAAACAAGTCACAAAATCAAGTCATTACACAAATGCCATGGTTGTTAAACTGGAAGTAAACGCTAGTTATGACAAAGACCATAAATCACCATCATGAATCTTTGGGATACTACAAACTGTCATAAATGTGGGCTGGTTTGCCCAATGCCCAAAATGCAATCATGTAATTATGGGGGAATAGGTGGTGACCAAAATTTCAAATCCAGGTCGTACGTACTTTTGGGTCTGTTGCAACTTTGAAACATGCCAAACGCTTGGTTGTAAGTCAAGGACTATCTGTATGTCATCTAAGGACTACCAAACCAAAGTTATGTTTCTTCCAAAAGTAGTGACTTTTCTGTTTGTGATCAAATAAGTTTAAACCAGAACAGGGATCTTATCCCATATTTGCTATACTTCTGTCTCATCCCTTTTCCACTGAGCCCAAATTACTACAGGTAGTCCTAGACTTACAACAGTTCATTTAGTCACCATTCAAAGTTATAATGGTACTGAAAAAAATGACTTATGTTATGACTATTTTTCACACTTATGGCTGTAGCAGCATTCCCCATGATCACGTAATCAAAATTCAGACACTTGGCAACTTTTGCAGTTGTAGTGGTCCTGGGGTCATATGATCACCTTTTGTAAACTTTTGTAAACAAGCAAAGTCAATGGGGAAGCCAGATTCACTTAACAACCATGTTACTGGGGACTTCCGGTTAGGCTCCCTCGGCAACGGACCGAATCCGCAACTGTCTGCGGTTTCGGTTTCTGCTTGCCGCTGGAGGACCCCGATTTATCTGATTTGGGGCTGAAGCCACCCCATTGAGGTGGCGGAGAAAGGGGAGAATGTCAGCTGAGTTGAGGGGAGCCACATCCCCCCTCCTTGGCGAGGAATAAAAATCCTCTCCGAAGGCGGATGCAGCGATGGCCAAAATGGCCATCACAAAGAAGAAGATCTGATCGGACAAGATTGCTCAGGAGTGGAGAGAACAAAGGGGACAGTTTGGATGACCGGGTTAGCAGGATTAACATCTGAATACAAGGTACCCTGGAGCTAAAATACTTAAGAACTCTTAGGAAAATAGTTTTAGATCTGCGGCACAGAAGAGGGGGGGAAAAAAGTTCTGAAAAAGGAGTGGAACCTGGATATACTAAGAGTGCCACCTGATGCTGAAAGAAATTAATGTGAACTTTTAAAAGATTTTTAAAGAATAACAAAGTAAATGAAACATTGCTACAATTATAGAGCCCCTGGAAAGTGAAAGAGGAGTTTGGAACTTTGCAACAAAGAAAGAAGCGAGAAGAAACTGTTCTGGAATTGTTTGAGGATCTTCGAAACTCTGGACATTGGATTACTAGTAGATATAATTGAAATTAACTTTGGGAAGCAATCCTATAGAATTTGGTTGTCTAAAAGTACTGGGAAGTGTTGAAAGGTGGCAGAACTTTATTTGGAATTGAACATGGTTCTAAAAAATATGAAGGAACAATTGCAAGTGAAAGGAGAATCATTTGGCTTTGTTCTGCAATCTCTGGAAATGGCTGTTTTGGACTATGAGGATCAGCAAAAAGCTTTAGAGGAAGAAGAAGACTTGAATAAAGGAGAGGCCATCTTTAATAAAAAAAATCAGGAAAACGAGGTTTGAAACTCAAAAAGGGGAAAAAGGGACTTAAAAATGGGAAATTGGAGGAGGTAATCAGAAAAAGGAACAGTGTGAGAAATAAACAAAATATAAGGAAGGAGCAGAAGGGAGGATTACAGCAGGAAGCATTAAAGAGGGGGGGGGTCAAAAATTGGAGTGAGAAAAAGAGGGGGGAAATAAAGGGGAAAAGAAGTTATACAAAACAGAATCAGGAAATAAAGAAATGTGGGGAACGAACAAGAATTTAAGGGTATAATTTGATTGACAGACACAGAGATAATGGTTGAAATTACAATTAAAATAGAGGATTCTACATGGTGATAAGGCATTGTATAAATATTTTAGAAACAAGAAATTATGTAGAAAACAGGAAAATATATGTAATTAAAATGGAAGATGAAACGGGGATTATTACTTAATGGAATGTACGATAACAGCTAGATTAAATAAAAAATGAAAATATGCAAAATACAACTGAATTATATTAATGTATATCAAGGATTTATAAATTGTGATTGAAATTAATTATGAGAAGAATTGTAAGGAAATTAATGCTAGTCTTTTTTTAGGATAAATTTGAACTGATTATTTTCTTCCGTTTTATTCTTTTTTTCTTTCATTTTCTTTCTTTTAAACTTAAAGTTGTTTTAATTTAAAGGGGAAGTACCATGTGGAATCTGACTAAAAAATGGATTTATGCTATAATATAACTATTAGGTGATGGAGATTATAATTGTTTAATGGGATAATTTAGAAATAGAACATTTCATGGGATGTGAAAGGGAATTAACTATATGAAGGTGACACACTTTAATTGGCAATTATAGGGGAAACCTTGTTTTGTATGTTTGAAATATGGATATGGATTTAAATTGTACACAGGACAGATAAAAGTACAAGTATAATTATTTTGAAAATATGAAAACCTTGAAAAGGATATGTAATAGATTTAGAAATGAATGAGAGAGTTATAAAATAAGCCTGAGGGAAGTATCTGAGGGAAAAAAACTAATAAAGAATAATTAAAGTAGTGATAAGATATGAAATTGAATATGAAAGATGAATATGTAACTGAGATTGTATCTGTATGGAGATTTGAAAACCTGGAACCAAGCTGTTCACCAAAAAAAGATGTTTTATATTTGTGTGTGTGTGTTTTGTGAAAACTGAAATAAAATTGTTTTTTTTTTAAAAACAACCTTGTTACTAACTGAACAAGCGCAATGACACCTAACAGTTATGGCAAGAAGTTGTAAAATGAGGCAAAAGTCACTGAATAAATGTCTCACTTAGCAACAGAAATTTTGGGCTCAAATGTGGTCATAAGTCGAGGACTTCCTGTATATAAAATCTACTTGTTCCATTGGCCTTTGTTGGCAAATGATGTTATAGCTGAAGGGAGACACAGAGGCCTTAATCATGGTATCAGTGGATTCAGATAACATACTAAATCTGATCTCAGTTTGACCTAATGTGACATGTGAAGGAATCTACTTTCTCCTCTAAGACTGCCGGTTACTATATAAAGGTGGGTTTTCTTTGCTGCGTAGAAGTATTATTTCCTCTTCTTGCTTGGCACGAGAACATCAGAAACAACTGCTAAGCATGTGAGATTTTTTAACAACATCCCTTTAAGTAGATGAGTAAGTCACGATTGTCAATATTATCAGCTACAATAATGGAGCAAGAAATTAACCGAAGCTAATTCTTGTTTCCCTTTAGTTATTTTTATTACTCAAATCGAAACTTTCACATCATGCTATCGAAATGGGAAAACGCCTCAATTGGGCATATCATTTATATTTTACCTTACTGCTGTTTCTTTCATGATCAGTTTTCTGGTTATACCAAGGTTCATTCCACTTCTCTTCAGACTGCCAGGTATACTTCAATATTGTACTTAAGACAGCTTCACAAAGGAGGATTATTAGATAGATAATCAAAAAAGAATTCATAGATCTGAAGGGCAAAAGTGAGAGACAATTTAATACCCAAATGCCACTGAATTAAAACTGTACTATGGGGGCAAAAATTAGATGAGCATTGAAGACAAAGGAAGCTCTGGACAATTCAAAGATATTTGCACATTACTTCAAAGAACTACAGCAACAATAATTTTAACAATCTTTGTGTTTTGTTCAGCCAACTTGAACTTTGCATTTGGGGGAGGGTGGAGATCCCAAAAAGGAAATGCTTTGTAGAATCACAAGGTTGGAGATGACATTAGAGGTCTTCTAGTTCAAACTCCTGCCCGGTGTAGGCTGGACTGATGGTTGTCCAGTCTTTTCTTGAAAACCACGAGCTCTGCTTTTTTTTGTCTTTGGTTGCAAAAAGAAAAAAAAGTTATTCTCTATTAAAGGCAGAAGATGGAAAATCACGAGAAGTTTCTTGCTTCAAGGCATGGTAGGACAAGATTTGAGGAAAAAATACAGGCTAGTTCATTAGACGTGAAGCAAAGTAAAACACTCAAGGGCAAACCACTATGCAGAGTGGATTCAGTATTTCCAGGGCTGTGTTTTGTCACACCCTGATGACCTATCAGATTATTTCTCAAGAAACTATCAGAAGGGGGTTTAGTTTGACTACATCCCATTTCACATGGTGATTTATTTCTAAGTCCTCTTGAAGAACAAAATCCACATTCAATACGTTTGAATATTCTGAAAGCAAATATTAATTTTGCTAAAGAACATGTGAACATTTATTAGCCTGATAAGAAATACTTATCAAATGGTTCAAGCAACAGAGATGTTCAAAAAAATGTTTTTAAAACATGTTCCTTTGTTTTTTAACACGTTTCTTTGTTCTTTTTTTTTAACTTAGTGTATTTTATTTTGTATTTTTTAACTTTTAAAATTATTGTTGGTATTCTATCATGCTAGTCTATGACCATAATAAATATTTGAACTGTTCCCTTGCATGCTACCCCCTTACTCCAAATTCCTCATTTTACAATTTAAATTAATACATTAATCTTTAACGGAGTAAAATACTGCCAACCACGTACTTCTCTACTGCTGATCGTTTCTGTGATTTGCTCTTATAATTCAATGCCATCTTTGTCTCCATTCCTGTATACACAGCAACACCTATAAAAAAGTAAAAGAACGTTCAGCATGGCAGCAAAGTTGTGTGTAATACTTGAGGCTCGTTCTCTTCCCTTCCTTTTGAGAAGACAGACACAGGTGGCTTCCTTCAATTTCTGGCTGGTCACTCTGTTGGGTTTCCAAATCCACTCTATGATTACAGTGATAGGTTTTTTTTAAATTCACGCTGTGATTTTTTAAAAAAGTGATTAGTTTTTTTTTCAGATTTTTAACTTGGAAATATATTCCAACCAAATCAAGTGGACCAGGAGTTAACAGATAAAAACTTTTACAGCAGAAAGCTTAAGTGGTCCAGGTTCCTGGAATAGAGGGATTGAAAGCACCAGTAGGACTTACAAAGGTGAAAGAAAGACAGACATAGAATCCAGATTTTTCTGGTTGCACCAGAATCAATTACAGTTAGTCCTCCACTTACAACTACAATTGAGCCGAAATTTTATGTTGCTAAGTGAAACATTTGTTAAGTGAGTTTTACCCCGTTTTGTAACTTTTCTTGCCACGTTTGTTAAGCAAATCATTGCAGTTGTTAAGTTAGTATCACGGTTGTTAATGAGTCTGGCATCCCCATTGATTTTTGCTTGTCAAAAGGTTGCAACAGAGGATCATGTGACCCCGGGCACTGCACAAGTCATAAATATCAATTGCCAAGTTTAAAATTTTGATCATATGACCATGGGAATGCTTCAATGGTTGTAAGTGTTAAAAATGGTCATGTCACTTTTTTCAATGCTGCTGTAACTTTGGTCACTAAATGAATTGTTGCAAGTGTAGGACTACTTGGTGCAAGTTATTACAATCTACATGACACTCTTCCTCTTAATCAGGAAAAGTGTCCTAACCTGGATGATATGCCAGCAATAGCTACTGTGCAATTTCATCCTTTCAAGAAATATTAACCAAGTTAGTGAAACTTTTATGTCACACACCAAAAATTTCTTTAGTGTTTTTCAACCTTGCTCCACGAAGTAGAAGACTTTTGGGTTCCAGTGGTCTGCAAAAGAAAAATCATTGTTTGTTCACATTGTTGGTGAAAGTGAGACAGTCCCTCTTTCTCAGGCCTGGGAAGAAGGCAATGGCAAACCACTTCTGAAAATCTGGCCAAGAAAACTGCAGGGACTAGTCCAGGCAAATCATCAGGCACACACACACTGACTTGTGCGCACGCACACACACACACACAGAGCAGGGCAGATAAAGAGTGAATAATTTTGTATTTGGGAATCAAAATAGTTTTGATCTAACTACCCCCTCAATTCCCTAGAATGTAGCAATTTTATTGGGCCTATCAGTAGGCAACTGCCTAAAAAGGAAGAGATAAACGGTATCACTGACACCTAATACATATAGTCCGGAGACACCGTGAACAGCATATCACGTAATGACCATCTCATTCTATTTGTGAACTTCATTGGGGTATCACCTGGTATTAAGATAAACAGATGCTATACTAGTCCTTTCAGTCCAGTAAGGCTCTCAAGGTTTTTTTTTTTTTAATTTTGTTGTGCTATCTAAGAAATATACATTGAACCATAACCAACCACAACCACAACCAAAGTCAAACATTTTACACATATTTTAAAAAATCCTTTAGTATTTCAGCATATTTGATATTGTTTGTTATTCATGCTGCTCAGCTACTGTGCGCTTGGCTGCTTTTCACAACTCCTTCTCCAAGGAGTCCTAGATTCATCTGAATGTGCCACTTAAGAATAACTCCTTCATCCTACAAGCAAACAACACTTGAATTTCCCCTTACAGAGAATATACTTGATTTATGAAATGCTTTCGTGTTCTCAGTGATTAATTTCAACTCCACCAGCAATAATTCTTACAATATTTATACAGATGTTTACAAAGGGTCATGAGGATCAGTGAGAAAAGACCGTGAATAAAATTGTCTGCCATGCTGACCCAATGTTCAATTTTAAGACAAACCTGTTTGGCACTATTTATCTATTGTGGCTTGAAATGTCTATGTAATTATTAGAAGAATAGCAAGTTTAACAGATACATAGGACCTGAACTGGTCTATACCAATCCACAATGTACTGTTAGAAAGAAAACTAGTTTTTACTGTTATTTTAATATAACAAAACAACAACAACTAGCTGTATTTATTAGTACAAAGTGGTCAAACAAGTAAGTGGCAGTTCACAGCATCACTCAAACCAGAAAGGAATAATAGCTTGTAACCATAAATTACAACAGCTTGCAATAGCTTGTATTCCTCCCAGTCTAATAAGTTGCCACTACAACTTATTATTTATGCAGAAGTAGTTCTTTAAAAGCATTCTATCAAAAAAAAAAAAAAAAAAACCTAGAACAGGGCAACAAAAAACAAGGAAGCAGAAAGATCACAAAAGTAGAGTAGGAACATCTGGTCGGTGTGCTTAATCTTCCCTGTGCTGGATGCATACAAATGCACTTTATTTCATTTTATTTATTGAATTGGTCTCAAATCGCATTCACCGAGAGTGAAGGCATTTGGCTTACCGCACTATTTCCTCAATTTGATGACTTATGGTTATACGCCCAACAAATCTGCAAAATAATATGTGTTATGATTAAAAAATAAATAAAAGGAAACGTTATTTTTTCAATATGCCATTAAACCCTGACCATAGCAGTGTAGGAAATGAGTTAAAGAAACTGACCTGGTTTGCATGTAATGGTAAGCCCAATTCCTGGCATGCCATGATCAACAAAGCCAGGAATCTGAAGCCAAGAACAAACCAGGAAGCAACAATCAGAAATCCTAGTTCAGACATTGTGCTAAACAAACCACAGGTGGTAGCTTCCATGTTAGCTTAATTCAAAGCCACATTCTTTAACTTTCTTCCATTTCAATGCAACAGTTTAACATAGAACCTTTCCTTATGTTTAGCTATAAAATAATACAGGTAGTCTCTCGATTGTGTTCTGTTGCTAAGCAAGACAGTTGTTAAGTGAGCTTTGCCTCATTTTATGACCTTTCTTGTCACAGTTGTTAAGTGAATCACTGCAGTTGTTAAATTAGTAACAGAGTTGTTAAGTGAATCCGGCTTCCCCATTGACTTTGCTTGTCAGAAGATCGCAAGGGACACTGCAACTGTCATAAATCTGAGCATCCAAATTTTGATCACGTGATCATGAGGATGCCGCAGTGGTTGTAAATTTGAAAAATGGGCCTAAGCAGTGGTGGTATTCTACCAGTTTGGCCTGGTTCTTCCGAGCCAGTAGTGGTGATGAGCAGCGGAGACCAAACCGGTTCTCTCCGCTGCTCTGCTGTTGGGCCCACCCACCTGCCTGGGCTCTCATACTCACCTTTATCTTCTGCTTTTGAAGTGCAGCTGCTTTGCACAGCACAGAACTGTGCCACGCGACACCTGCTGAAGCAACTGGAAGAGTGCAGGCTTGCAGGGGGTGAATTGGAATGCCTCTGCACCTGCGCAAATGTCTCGCGCCTGCGCAAAGTGCGTGTTTGGCACACGTGTGCACACAAAGTGCGCCCACTAAGCCACACCCACTGAACCGGTGGCAAAAGTTTTTGAATCCCACCACTGGTCCTGAACGGTCGGTCGAACTAAGTGAAAGGGTTGTAAGTCAAGGACTTCCTGTAACAATTTTTCTATAGCAAATCTGCATTGTCTTGGAGACTTGTTGGTAGAACTCTCAGTGTCAGGATGACAGAGAATCAAATGCTTCATCCTGGTTTTTTTAAACTAAGAAATGGGGAGTGAATGCTTGAACATTGGGGGAATTTTCCAAACTCAGGAAGCTCCCAAATGAAATTAACAGAGCATTCCCAGTAAGTCATGGCCTTGTTTTTTCTACGCCACATAGGCATTTATATTCATGACTCCATCACAAGAATTTCCAGAGCAGTTTTGGCCTAATATTTAATAGCCATAACTTCCTTTTCCAAATTCTTAAAAAAAAGAGAGATAGGCATTAATAAAAAACAGAAACCTGTAAAGATCTGCTTCTGGTTGCTGGCATTCAATAACAGCTACAAGTTTGTCCAGATTGGCAACTGACTGCAACACAGCAGTTTCTGGGACTGCAGTGTGTTTCTGAAAGAAAAAAGAGAAAAGCAAATGATTTGACAAGTCTTGGTTAATGTATTCCACAGATCTCCAAAGACCCAAAATCCAGTTTAAAAAAAATCCCTTACGAGCTCTTAAAACTGTATTCCTAATTTGCCAGTAAGTTGTCAGTGTTATACAAAATGCTGAGAAAAACAAGCCACAATTTGGTAAATTGGTCATCTGTCAATAGGAAAATGATACATTTCTTCCATCTGGTGGTGTGTTCATAAATTTCAGTCCTGACAAAATGATGTGTGAGGGTTCTTTGTTCATCCTAACGAGGGCAAGACTCTCTCACGTGAGGATCATCACTTGAAAAATAGTAGGAAAAAAAAAAAAACCCAGATCATAAATTGGATGGAGCTCTGTATTCTTGTAGAATGTTTACTATCAAGGGGGAAATAGTAGGAAAAATATTAAGATATACAAATGCCTGTAAAAAAAGATTGTGGATACTATGTAGTTTGTTACAAGAAATAAATAGTTGAAATAAATAACCAATGAGAAAGAAATACATTGAGGTGGGGATTGGTCACCTGGAAAGAATTAATGAGCATTAAATGCCAAGACAAATAAAGAAAGGAAGCATGAATGTCTTTAACAGGAAAGGAAAAAAGAAAGCTCCTACTGCTGGCTATTTTGGACTGATATATAAATCTTTCAGATTCAAAATATCTTAAACTATAATGTCCCATTTTGAATTCAACATTTGTTTACTTAAATAGAAACAGGTATTTCAAGCGCAAATATTTTAAATTTGAAACATTTTATGTACCTTACTGTCTTGTTATACCAGTTGACAAAATAAGACAAAAATTGGGCAAACTAGAGGAAAATAACATAGAAAACAGAAAGTATTTGTCCTTAAAGAACTTTCTAAGCATATCCATATCCTTTTTGTTTACATTTGCTAGTCACTTTCTGATAATCAGAAGTAACTACATTACATTCCAATTAATGATATTAACTGTGCCTAAGGAATTTGTTCTTATATTTTTCCTTAAATTCATAACAATGAATACAGCCATAACAACGCAGCCTTTGGCTATAAAAAAAAACCTGAAGCTTTGATATGAACCCAACAAAATTCAAAAGAAACTTAACACTCTTTTCTACATCAACATAATACCCTAGCCACAATTTCAAAAAAACAAAAAAATTATCCATTTTAACAGTATGAACGCAGACCTTAAGATTAGTTTCTCCATCCAAACTTGCAGTCGTAACATAGCAACAGCCATGTTCTCTATCAGAGGACAGAAGTACAAGATCAGCAGGGAAAGTTTCATCTTTGGCTACTCTCACAATGTCTCCTACCTGAGGAGACAGAAGAAGGCATGGAAAAACTGATTTGCAAAATTACTGGATTAAAACAGTCCAACGATTATCCGGTCTAATTAAATTCTTTGTAAAACTGAATAACAGCCATGACTGTTTATTTCAACCCCACAATTACAGAAGACAGACCCTCATTTTACGTGAGTAAGACACATACCCGAATGTTCTTTGATCTTGTTTTTACAAGGCCACCACTACGAACAACATACACTGGAGCTCCATTTACTTCATTGTCTGCTTTGTGCCGTAGCCAATCTTCATAACCCTGAAAAGATCAAAGGAAGTCACTAATTTATCTTGCCTGCCATCTCAAATTTTATCAGAGGATCAATCTAGGGCCTTAAAAAAATGGAATCCATACAGCTTATTTTCCCAAACCGCTTGCCCTTGAAAAACTCTGGACTACAGTCTCAATATTCCTTAATGGGTCATACTGATTGAAACTACAACTCTTAACAGCTCCAAAAACTTGGAAGGGATCAGGGTGGGGGAGATAGAGCCAAGGCAAAGTAGATAATCGGCTTATAATATGATATTCGTGCCACTTTAAGTGAGGGAGATGACAACCTATGTCTATTTTGAAAACATATATAGTAGGAATGATAAATTCAAGCAAGCATGCTAAAGGCAATTGTGCTGTGTGATCAGGGTTATGTTAAAGAAAGATTTCCAAGATAGATAAAGGTTGCCTGATAAGTCTTGCACGCATACCTCAAGAAAAGTCATGAGGAAAAAAATGAAATTGCATGGTCGTTCCTACTCAGATGGGAGTTGGGAGGCATATTCATTTAATAAATTAGGGTTAGTTGTATAGTCAGCCAGATGTTTAGACTGGATATGGCATTTTTGTTAACCTATTAAGTCTTTCCTAATGACCTGAGACAGGTAGATGTTGTTCGATGATATTAAAGGTACTGTTATATAAGCTGTTACAAGTAAAACTGCCTTTTGTAATTGACTGATAGTCATTTTTGTCAATAGTGATGGTGTTCAAGCGATGCTCCAGATATTTTGGAATTGTACCAAGGACGCATATTACCATTGGTATTACCTTTGCTTTCTTTTGCCACAGTTTCTATCTACAGATCTTTATATTTTATGATTTTTCTCTAGTTTTTTCTCTTCTCTTCTGATGCCTTCAGGTCTTGTAATGTTCACTCGCCAACATTTTTGTCTTTCTCATCAACAATTGTTAATTCTGGGGCATTGTGTGGCAGATGCTTGAATTCTTAAGTCCCAGAGCACTTTAGCTTCTTCATTTTTCTCTTACTTTGTTATTTTGTGGTACCACCCGTTCTTGCTGGTGGGCTAAGAGCTCTGAGCCTTTAGAATTCAAACAGATAAATGCCGGTCACTCAACATATAAATTATGGTTGGTCAGACAGTCAGCCAGATGTTTAGACTGGATTTAGCATTTTGTCTACTTATTGGTCCTTCCCAAGGTCATGTTTGTAGAATATTATGTTTTTATAAGACACAGTCTTGACAAAAGTAACAAAACAGAATTTTAACAGCTATAAAGAATGATAGGTAAAACTGAATGCTGGATGAAGGTAATTTCATTTAAAGCAGACAGTGGAGGTTATATAGTAAATAAGAGCCATCCTGTGCTGCTTCAATGTATTATGCAGACTAGTCTTGAATTTTGAAATATTCTTTAAACAAATAAGTGAATAAATCTATTCTATCCATAGGTATAATAGAAGCACTGGGGGAAAATCAGGTCCCATCAACTTCAGGGAGCCAGAATACTGTGAGGAATCTCTAGAAACAATTGAATAATGCAACATCTCTCATTATGTAAATCAATTTTTAGAAGACTCCTTCGCAAAACCTCATTCCTTTTAAGACAGCAGGAAAAAATGGTATTCATAATACAAACTGAGATACCAACCTCCACAACTATTATGTGTCATTACTACCCACTGAAGGCTTTTATGTGGATCATGAAAACATATAAAAGCAATCCCAGGCAAAAACATGTTTTGTGTTTTGATTCTTAATACCAAAATGTATTTTCCAGTTTCAATTGAGGCTCAAATCCTTACAGGATACTGTTATATTTCAATGCAAGGAAAATGGAATAGCAATGATTTAAGGTATCTTTAGGGACAAAATAATTTAAGTTACCTCCTTCATTATCACAGTTGGACCAAAAAGATGAAAGGCTCCACCCAATATCCATATGATTCTTAAATCATTAATATATAAATATTCATATTTAAAATGCAAAACAGTAGCATCAGACATTGTTCTGTACAAAAATATCCCACTAAAAACACATTCTCACATCAAGATCCCTTTTTCTGTATAATATTTCAGACTGCATATTTAGTGTTTTGGATCCATGCCTTCGCTGGCTTGGCTTCTGAAGAAATACACCATGTGCTGATATTGCTAAACACATTAGCACATTGTGAGCTAACACTGATGGCCCACTTTTAATTGCAGTTCTGTAGTGAACATAATGTATATGTCTGTGCTAAGCAACCCCCCTCCTCCAAAAAAGGCACATTTTCTTACCTGCTTTATGGCTGTCACAGTTATAACAAAAAACAATGGCAATCCACTAGTAATTGGACTAGTAGGAGTATCTATCATAAGCTAGAAGAGAAACAGAAAGAATATGCGTATGAGTCAAATTTTGGAAAGTCTATGTTTACATTTGTATGTTATATTCAGAAAACTATAAATAGTGATTTGTGGTTGCTACTGTAACACCGCACACTGTATATACTACAATATTTTATTACTGTTGCTTACGACCATACCTGAGCCCGGAATTATGGCTGTAAGTCATGCTGTTCATTAAGTCGGTCATCACCACATGACTGTGCCCCATTTTATCATTTTTAACAGTTGTTAGGTGAACCCATTTTAGCTGGAAATGGGATTATCTGGCAATAAATATAAATCACAATTACGTGACACTGCAAAGCAACCTAATTGGGGGCTGGTTGCTAAGTACCCAAAATGCAAACACATGACCTCAGGGTGTGTGTGTGTGTGTGTGTGTGTGTGTGTGTGTGCAGCCAGTAAAACTTTGATACTGGTTATAAGTACCTTTTTGGAAGGTCTGTTATAATTTCAATGGTTGCTAAGAAACCAGTCATAAATCAAGGACTACCTATAAAGGACTTTAATGGCATTTGGAAAACAGCCAGATTCTCACAGATTTTAAAATGGCCCAAAACTGAAAATGAACTTGGCAAAAATTTCCCTTCTATATTTGCCAGATTACAAGATGCTTGTGGGCAATCACACCAATGTGTTGTCAATAATGAAAAATACAGACTGCACTAAGAATTGTTGCAGGATAGTATGTGGTGGAAGTTCAGCTGCAAGATCTTGGTTAAACACACAGTGTGAACACTGCATTCAAAGTAGAAATGGAAGAAGACTGTGGGCTCTGTGACAAAACACAGACCTCTTGCATATGGACCAATCCTAAGGGGAGGAGGGGAACGTATTTTATTAGGCAGCAGCTCTAAAGCCCAGTCTCACCAATCAATCAGTCAATCAATCAAATTTATATGGCAGTCTATCTTATAGAAAATGATTTTGGGTGATATACAACAGCTCAATAAAAGGTGTAGATGTATAAAACAATTATTACCTCATATAATTAAAAAAATTCTTAAAATGTATAAAAAACCATAAAGAGAAAACTAAAACAGAACAAAGAAAATAACAGAGGGATGTCAATAATAACAGTGCCACCTCATGAGTTCACCCGTTCCTTGGGATCCTGAGGGCTGCTGACATAATCAGGTCTTGAGGGACATGTGAATGCTCAGAAGTGATGAGGTTTTCCCTCAGCATAAACAGGATAGGGATTTTGAAGGGGGTGCATGTATTTCAAGCATGAGCAATAGATTCAAGTTCCACAGGACTTAACTCGAAACATGCTTATTGTGATCATACTGCAAAAACAGACATCATAGTACGTTCTACCCTTGGGCTGTGTTAGCTGAGGCAAAAAAAGAGGAAACCCCCCCCCCCCCGCCATGTCACTCTGTTTCTATTATTTGCCTGCTGTAAAATGTAAAGCTCCTTCCTGTGAGGAACAAAGCATGAATCCAAGAAAAAATAAATATAATTGCAGAGAGTTAAGCTAATATCAGTCTAAGAGATTTACTTCCTATGAGGATAATTGACCATGCATGCTATAAAGCCAAAAGCTTAATATTTTTTGCAAAAAATTAAGATGTTTTCGTAAACCAAAGAAATGCAAGATTAAATAAAGTTATGTAATTAAAAAAAAAGGTATGTATCCATTTTTAGAGAAGGCAGATATGCAAAATAGGAATTGAGTGGCTTTGTCCTTTTTAATTTAAATTAATATCATCTGGTTGTTTCACTGCTTTTTCTTTTTCATCTGAAGGAGGTCTTGTTGCTTTTACCATGTTTTGTCAACTTCAGTTCCTTGTGACTTTACTTTTTCTGAAATCATCTCTACCATTTCCAGATATTACTTCTCTTATGGCCCGATCCCCTTCCCGGCTCCTATGCGTTCACTATTTGTTTTCAGGTAATCATTTACCTTTATGTGCAGCTATACTGACATTTTCTGATTTCCATTTGTATTTCCTCAATGGAAATGTTCACAATTGTGCTTTTACCATTTCCCTTTGTATGAGCTTCCCTCTATCATAAGTGTCTTTTCCCACCAGCATCTCCTGCCATGAAATCCTACCTATCAGAAGCCATCTTTTCAAGCTCACAACATATGCATACAGTTTTAACTTTCTTTGAAGTCAAGAATTTGAGCCTACTAATCAATTTTTCTCGAAGTTCCTGATATTTCTACTTTTTAAACAAAATTTTCTCTATTGGAGATTATCAAGAATAATCGATTCTATTTCTATCCTCAGTTATACACTTCAGGAAGACCCTGGAATGACATACTAAGTAGAATTACCTCTCTATAGAGAGGTAATGGTGGCAATTCATCCTAGTAATAGTTGTATTTTACACATGAAATATGCTTATGCATAAGCACAGTACAAGCAAAGCAATAAGTATCACAGATGTGTGTCACCAAAGTCCCTCTCCACTAGTACTTCATTCCTCTTGAACTTGAACTTGGCAAGTTTAAGACTTGTGGACTTCAACTCCCAGAATTCCTGAGCTAACATGACTGGAGGAGGAATTCTAGGAGTTGAAGTCCATAAGTCTTAAAGCTGTCAAGTTTGAAGACCCCTGCTCTTGAATAATCTTCAATTTGCTTTTTGGATATAATGATCCACAACTGCCCCATGGATGGCTACTTGCAGATATAAAGAATGGTATGGTATGGTTCATTCACTTATTTAAATCAGGAGGCTTTCTATGGTAGGAAGACTAGCACTGAGTAGAACAGCCATGAAAGTCTTGGAAAAGGCATTCAGATGCTGAGTTGTAGCAGAATCATGACTGGAAAAAAATCAGAATTGTGTAGGCAATGGCATTTCTTGTGAAATTCTATGGAAGCGAAAGTTTGAACACCGATGTTGTTAAAAAACTTTTGAGTGTACCATGTAGAACCAAGGAAACAAACAGATCATCAAATAAATCAATCCAGAGTTCTCACTCAAGACACAACCAATCAGGCTCAAATGATCACACTCTGAACACGTTTTGTGAAAGACCTAGCTCAGTGAAGAAGACTATAATGCTGGAAAAAGTAGAAGGAAACAGAGGAAGAGGAATACCGACGTGGATGGACTCAGTTACAGTGGCAATGGGCGCTAAATTGGAAGGCCTAAAAGACCAGGTTAGGGATAGTTTGTCATGGAGAACATTTATCCATGTGGTTGCTAAGAAATGACATTGACCTAATGACACATAATCAATCAATGCTGGGAACTTTATGAGCTAAACCACAGGATATGTATACTGGTGACACAGTAAAGAAACACTATTTGTCAACAGAAAGAGGAATTATTACAAAAAGCATAGCAAATTGTGTTGGAAGCAAAGAGGAATACTTTAAAGTGTTAAAGGGCAACAAATCTTCATGTTTGAATGAGGTAATCTATCTACTGACAGCTATTAATAGGTTGTTCTTTGTTTCTTAAATATTTGAGAACTGCTTCTATTCTAAAAACAATACAAATAATTCCACTCTGATTGCATTGAAGAAAAAGAGAGGTATAGTGAAATATAGAAATTCTAAACCATTTCATGACTAAATGTCTCGTATGACAAGTCTATCATTATTGATGGTTCTCTTATTCACATAGCAAATGTTGCAAATTAAACTGCTTTTCTGAATTTATTTCATAGCAGAAATGTAAAGAGTTCAAATATAGGTCAGCCAAAATAGTGATGAAGCTGGATGGAAAGAAAAAAAAACCAAGCTAAAACACATACAAACAAGCTTTACTGATAGAGCTTGGTACCTAACAATTAACATTTAAACACTGCTTAACCCATAGAACCTTTTTCTGCTAAATTTAGAATCCTTTCCATTGAAGCTTTTAGATAAAAGAAGATTTAGCACAACTTGTGAAATACGTAAGTGAAAATAGAGAAGAAAAACTAAGCAAAAATGAGTAACAACTATTTTCTGATTACATCATTGTATGTATGGGAACCCTGAATAATGAAAGGGGAAAAAAGCATGCTTTAGATGCAATAGTCAGATGATTTTTAAGAGTTTTATTGCAATAGCCACAACATGGATTTCATTGCAACTTAGGCCTGAGGCAGCATTTGCAAAAGATATAAAATGTAATACGTATATGGAATCAAATACTATAGTGGCTTGTGTAATACTGTACAATACACAGTATTTACAGGATACACAAAACACATCTGATGAATACATTGTTCAGTCCATTCCTCAGAATGAGGTTTTGTTATCATATTTAGAAGGAGATGAGAACTGCAATCTTGTCACATGCAGAGAGAAGTAAGACAGATTTCCCCATGAATATCATAATTTCATATTTCTAGGGGGAATTTTTTGAGAGCCTGTTCTTTTGACGGTATGAATAAATCTCTCTTCCATCCTGTTAGCTTTGGACAACAATCAAGTCCATAGGCCAATCCTATGTGCCCCACCTGTTGTTACAATGCTACTGATTGATGATGTGCCATTAAGGCATTGTGGAGTCTTAGAAGTCTCTTTTTTTTTAACGATGCTATTACAATATTTTAAATATCTGCTACCATCTTGGGATGGACTTGTGAGCAAAAATCAATATGATCCCAATAGCACAAGTCCCAAATGATAGCTAAATTTCTGATTATAGTACTGACCAGGTTCCAGGCAGGATGTAGGAAGCAAATGACCACCCAACTGACTGGTCAATAAATAGAAATATAGCTTTGATGCTTAAATTCCTTCAGGAATTCACTTTCAGAGATTAAATACCAAATTAAGAAAGGTCTTTACTGGTGACTTTAGCTCATGATTTTGATAATATTGCTAATTCATATAACTATGCATTTGTTTTGTCAAACTAAAGCCAATTAATATTTTATCCCTATCTGTACTTAATTTGTAATTGTACGTGGGAAGGATTAAGAGAGGCTACTCAATCAGATGAAATGCCAATTTACGGGAAACCTGTTTTCAAAATATATTACGTATAATACCTAAACTGCATCAACATTTTTAACATCTCTCCTTTAGAGTGAAGAAAACATGTTAGTCACTAGGAATAAATCTTATGAAGCAGATCAGCTAATGTCTTATGAAACCACAGAAAAACATAGATGAACATGTCCTGATAATGGTAGTGGGCATGTCACCATATATAAATGAATTCTAACTCTCACAGTAACCCACGATTTGTTTCAAAACCAAGCTTTATGCTTGATTATATGCAACATGATTTTTTTTTCAAATCCCTCATGTCAATTGCACATGCTTAAGTAGTGTTAAATTATCCAACTTACCTGAACCAAAAATATTATAAGAAAATAAAAATTGGCTATTCTTCTGAACTGTTCAAATAAATTTTTGGGCACAAAATTCCACACAGTATACTGCAAGAAAAAAAAAGTTACATTTAAAAACTGCCAAAGTAATTCATTTCAACTTCAATCATTTTTTCAGAACTGTATATTCTGCATTCAAAATTCTACAAATGTTAACAAACCCTCTCTTAGAACATTCATATCAGCCAATTAAGTTCCATGTTTACCTTTACGTGTTAAATTTGCAATACAATACTGATTCATAAAGAAAATGAATTAACTGACATCTGACATTGGGTTTTCTACAATATAGGAGATGTTATCTTCATTTTGATTTTAATATAGGTTATCCTCAA